GACTGCCATAAGATACCTTCCAACTTATTTGGAATTTGAGAGTGAAGCACAATTAGCTCTTTGCATGAAGAAATATTTATTCTTACACATATAGCTGTGTCATTTTTTTGGGTGAGTACAAATGTGTCTTTGATAATAACATTAGCTGCTTGTACATGTATTTTGGCAGGTAGGTGAAGCTTTCAAATCATACTTTACTAACTTCTTCCGGATACTAAAGAAAATCAAGACCTTTGACTTCTCCAAAGGAAAAGGAAGAGGCAGTAAGGCCTCTAATAAATTAAAAGGTAAGAACCCTAGAGCTAGTAGCCTAGTAAATAATAAGAGCTCGGCACAAGAAATTTAAAAGCAAGCACTGGGACTTAAATACTGTATAAGTAGAAATAATGGATTTGTGGCAGTGACAAATATAGACAAAAGTAATGAAACACTTAAAGGCCAGCTTTGAAAAGAACTAAGCAATTTAAAAGTGAGATGCCTTCAGAAACTGATCACAAATCTTCCAATGCATAAACTTTTGCCTATACCCCAGCCTTCAATAGTATAATCTTGAGTTAATATATCAGAATAGAAACTAGCTCATCAATATAAAACTGCTGTTCGTTACTTATGATGGACTCTTAATCAATGAAACCACATAGGCACTTCATCCATGTAAGAACATCGATCCATCGCTATACTGACAATTTTGCTCCTGAGCTACTGTCAGAGAGGATGTTCCAAGAGGTGTAGTCCCGGATTTCACATTTTTGCTGATGTTGTTGTTCTCCATATTTTCACTTCCTTCTGTCCGAGGCCTTTTTTTCCTTGTGTCAATATTTTCTAATTCATTCAACTGATGAGCTACTCATTGGAAACTGGCTGGTCCTTCTACTTTGATATAGTAGGTAATCAATGGACTGCATTATAAAAAAAGAAAAAAACTTGGACTTAGAGTTGTTTACCATTATGCAGGGAGAAGAACAAAATTAAGAAGATAATTAACAAAGACTGCTTAAACAAGATAAAGCATATAGGAGTAAGCTGTACATAAAAGGCATTGTGAGTTCTGATTTTTAACCAAAAGTACTCAAGACTTACAAAGAACTTAATGTTTTGAAGATTGTTAAGTTTAAGAGTAACCACCTGCATTGTGGGATCAATTGAGTATTCCAGGAACAGGACAAAATCAAATTCTAAGGAGAACTCACAAAACAATTAGGAATGCTCTATGCAGAATACATAAATGAATTATTTTGCATGGCGCACACTCTTAATTGCCAAGCAAGTCCAATGAAGATGGCTTCACATTAGATTTTTGCAGCTCGACATTGAACTATGAAACCTCGAAGAGTTGTCTAGAATTAACCAAATGTTAGTGCTTAATTAACAAAGATCAATACAAGTTCAATCCAAGCATAAGTACAAAGTTTTTCAAGGATCATTGTAATAGACTCAGATTTTGTTTCATTTTTTTTTAAAATTCTATTTGTGAAAGGTACCAAGGCGTAAATAGTATGTTTTGAAAAAAGGGTTTTCGTTTGCTGGAGCCAGAGGGACCAAAACCAAAATACTGGATTAGCACACCTCTGCTAGATCACTTTTTGTCCCACACAAAGTGGGATATTTTGCATTACCATTTGCACGGAAAATAGAAACATAAGTTGCCACGAACTCCATAAATAAAAGAGATTCTAATTTGCAATGGGACATCCACTCTTGTGAGTTTGTCTTCCTAACAATATAAACAAACTGGGGGTCGGGTCAGAGATCACATAGGGGTAAGACTGTCAATCTTTACTTCTTCCCGTCCTTGTTATAGGTGTGAGCCATGTCCACTGGACATGCCCTACATTACAAAACATTAGTTCCACCTCCCTGCTACACTAACACTGACTAGCACCAATGTGGTACTGAATCTGTTTTTCCTGTCTTTTGAGGGAGCAAAAAACTTCTCTATAAGTGACCAATGTGAGTAAAATATATGTTTTCAGCATTTTCATGTCGGCATCCAGAAAAAAAAAGGAGTTTCTTGCCATATTATAGGGCTTATGAATAACTATTTTCACTTGAAAGTCAATCGGGAAAGGGCATCACCAAGCTGGAAATAAATTCTGGACGGATGATAGACAAACCTAGACCTTTCCATTATACAAGTATGGTCATTTATGAACTTGAGATTATTTGCATGGAATCCTGATTCATGAGTTTCCCAAAAGGAGGTACACCATTCTGGATCGCCAACAGCACGCACTTGCAGCCTTGGTTGATAGGAATCAGTGGATTCAGAGTGTTTTAAGTATGTACATATTATACTCCAGAACAAGTGTACATTTTGTTGATGCTTTGTTGAGTTCAAAGAATTCGAGGCGTGAGATAATTAGTTGATTCTAGGTAATGGTAGTACTAGCAAAACATTAGAAAGCTACAATACTATCTGCAGTTTGGTGGATGAGCATGATCTGCCTATTAATGAAGAGAGATTATTTTTCTTTTGGGTGACAACCGGGAGAGGAGTGGGGGGGGGGGGGGGGGGGGGTTTGGTAAGGCAATTTGGAAATCCATGACTCAAAGATTGTCATCTCTGTTGTTTCTTATGGTTTCTGCCTTTTTTTTTTCTTGTGTTCTGTGTTGTTTTCTTTGATATTGTATTGGAAGAAAATGTCAGAAACAAGGATCAAAATTTCGTTTCGATGTATTATTTCGGTAACTTAGAAAACGGAAACATTTCGACGTGTTTCGGAAGCGTTTCGATCCGTTTCAAAAACATAGTGAAAAAAATAAAAAATTTAAGAATTATTTTTCTAATATATTAATTGAAATATATCAATGTATCTTGAAATACCTTAAAACATTCTGAAATAATTGTGTAAATGCATTGAAATATTATAATATATCTTGAAACATTATAGAATACCTCGATATATTAGAATTTCGATTTTTATCACTATTTCATTTTGGTTTCCTTGAAAACAGAAATATTTCAAATGTTTCGATCGTTTCGAAACGATATTTGGATCCTTCATCAGAAACAAACTGTTTGATTGAGGAATTGTAATGTATAATGGGGAGTAAAGATTATAGATGTGTTCATTCATTTACAGATCTTGACATCATTATCCTCTTTCTTGTTTCATTTCTAATAGGATACTGATACTTTCGGTTGGTGGATTTTAGAATCATGGACAGAGGTTACTGATGCTCAAAATGCCTAGAATTTTATGTGGAGTGTAAATTACACTTTGAACCCTCAACTATATTAAATTAGACTTCTCAAAATCTAACACGACGTGATTAACCGACACGGATTGATACAAAGTTAAGCGGGCTTGGGTAATGCCTTATCAGGTTTAGGTGATAAATGAGTGGATTTGCCAGAACCGTTTAATAAACAGGTCGTATTCAAATAAGGTATGTTAACCTTTTCTTATCCATTTAAATAAAATTAATATAATAATAAATTAATAATTATTCAAAAAAAATTAGCCAGACTAAAATATGTAGTTATTAATTAGATCAGTTTAAAAAAAAGTTTAATAATAATTTTTCAAAGGATGTTCAAGTAAATGAGTCAAACGGATGGCGGGTTAAAAAGGTTATCAACTTATCGTGTTATTTCAACCCTACTAAACTCGATTGGTTTATTAAACAGGTTAAAAAAGGCATGTCGTGTAACTAGCTTAATAAACGAATATTATTCGATTTAAAGATTTTTACCCGTTTATTTAAACGATTCGTGTATGAATTTATTAGTTTTTCACACGAATTTGATTAGACTCAACTCATAGCCGTTTAACCTGAAACAATTGACACCCCCTACTCATGACTATAAACAAATCGAAATTGAGTTGAATTAATTTACCTGAAGGGTCCGCTTGGTTAGCAAGAAAAATATGATGAAAAGTGAAAGAGGCAGAAAGTGAAGTGAAAGAAAAGAAAGTGAAAGAAAATATATTTTCATGCATGTATTTAGTTAGTATGAAAAACTTCTAAGAAAATTTTAAAACAATCTCATTCCATTATTTGAAAAAAAAAAGGAAGTTATAAGAAAATTTTTTAATTGTCTAAATTATCTTTAAGTATTTTAACTCTATGTAAAGAAGAAAAACATATTTTTTATTATTTAAATTTAAAAAAAATTAGCTCCTAACTTAATTCAAGAATAAAGAACGACTCGAACCTTAATTTCTAAACTAAATTATATAATTAATCTAATTTGTACACATTTTTTTAAAATTAATAACGAATTAAATATTTTAATAAAAATAAGGGTAAAATGAGAAGTTAAGTTATTGAATACAACTTTTTTGCTTTTTCTTATGTTTTTTGCAAGAAAAAAAGTTAGTTAGATGTGAGAAAATCTAAACATCAGAGAAAATCATTTTTTCTATCATTTTTTATTTCATGCTAAACACACTTATGTAAAATTTTAAAATTTTCTATTTCTTATATTTTCTAGTATTTTCTTGCTAAACAAACGGACCGAAATAATTTAGAGACGCATGTCAACCTTTTTGATCATATCTTGTCAATTAATTTAGTGCATTTTAGTCCAACAATTACAAGAGGATTAAGTGTCATTTTAGAACCTAAAGGAGGTGGTGTTCAAACAGATTAAACCGAATATAATAAAGACTGCTCACCATTTCTGCAAAATGACTGAGATTTCAATCACCCGTTAGATGTTAATTAAATTTGGTTTGCCACAACCATTTAACTTTTTAAGATTTAGTGAATGCTATTAGGACATAATTTATGAACTTAATGCATTATTACCATTAGATTTTTTTTTCTTTTTTGGGTAAGAATCCTCCCAACATCGTATCGCATGTTCTCATTGTTGCAATGCAAAGTCCCAATACATACACTCATCAACAAACCAAGAGCATGATGCATTTGTTCCATCTAGAATTTGTGGGACTATAAAAACATGAATTCAGTGAATTTACAGTTGTTCCTTGTTCAACTAAGTTAAAACTTACAAACTTCACGACATATCTTTCTCTAATATGCAAAAAAGGGAAAAAAAAAAAAAAAAAAAAGCGTGAATAAGGAGAAATAGCAAAAGCCCCCGAACCATTACCACCTCTTGTCCTAGTTTGGTGTGAGGAGAACAAGGCCAGTTTCTATTTACCTGCCTAAATCCTTCACAAGCCTATATTGACTTCTTTTTTTCCCACCCATTAGGCCCTAATAATATTTACAATAAAGTTCATTAACCCACATCCTCCAATGGGCTTCTAGTAAATCTCCTTCTTCCCTCGAGCCGAATAAGCCTCAGTCTTTTTCCAGCCTGCTGTTTTTCTAATTTGGACACTGGTAGCATAATATTTCCTTTACAATCAGTTTCCTCTATGAATTCGGCCTCTTGATTAAATAAGGCAAAAGTCCCTCCCGGGAGGGAAGGAGTGTTTTCACTCTCGCAGACATCATGTATAACATTTTCCTCTTCAGAATCCTGAATTATACAAGTTGCAAGATCGTCAGTTGATGTTGAAGAATATTCATATTTCTCTCTCTCTCTTTCAAGATTGAAAGCCAACAATTCTTTAGGGCTGCTGTGATCTTCCTCATTCTGTATGTCCAATAAAATTAGGGTTCGACCAAGAGATTTTTCAGCTGATCTGTCACTTTTCTCATATTCCTCAGTATCAATATATATCGGTGTCAAATCTATGGCAGAACATGGCCTTGTTGAAGATTCAGTAACTTCGGCCATTTGGCTGCGACCTGCTTTATTTGTCAACATAGCAGTCGTTTGCTCCCCTGTTTCTTCAGCTTCCTGTTATCAGAAAAGAAGGCCAAACAAAGAAAACATAAGAATATCTATTTAATCACAAAATTTAAGCTCAGATGCAATGAACAAAGAAAATCTGACATAAGTTGCAAATTTCAGGGATTATGGATGATAAAACATCCAACCAAAAAGCAATTGGCAACAAATAGAATAGCCTCTCAAGCATATAAATCAACCTTGGGTGTACTTAATTTTCCAACGTGGGATAAAAGCTCTTTTTACACCCTCATTCACATGCAACCCGCGTTATTGCGTGGGTTAACAACTAAACAAAAACAAATAACCAAATAACCAAAACACCAAAACAAACAGGTAAACAGACCTTGAAATTCAAACGAGTCATAGATTTGACTCACCCAAAGATCAAAATTTTGTTTTGGTACATAATTTCAGTAAACTTAAAAACAGAAACGTTTTGGTAATGTTTTGGAAACAAGATGGAAACAAAGAAAAATTTAAAATTTTATTGTCGTAATATTGGTCAAAATATAGGTCGAAACATGACAAAACACCTCGAAACATCTCGAAACACAGGAATTTTGATATTGAATCAACGATTTATTTCGGTTTCCATGGAAACGGAAACGTTTGGACGTTTCGAAACGAAATTTAGTTACTTGGACTCAACAATTACCCAAGACCTATCTCTAATATCACGTTACAACACCCAACTCAAAACCAATTAATAATGGATGGAGTAGCCCCTCAAGCATATTACTAGACCTCGGGTGTACTTAATTTTCCAATATACAATACAAGCTCTAGTCACACCAGTAAATGTATTTAATGGAAAATAAAATCAACAGAATCAAGTTCAAACTCCTTTTTTTACTTTTCTAAGATTTAGTGTCACGGCATCACTGTGATAAAATTCAACAAGTTCACATATCAGAAGACTGAATGAATAAATTGTTCTTTGGTTTCCAATTGGCATTGAGCAAGCAACACGACCCCCTAATTCTACTTCACTAAGCCCCGTCCTTGTACAAGGAAGAAGTCAATCTCACAAGTTTGAATCCCCTTTTTTTAGCAAGTCTTTTTTTTAACATGGACGAAGGAGCTCAACAAAGGTGACCAGGCTGCTCATGACAAAATTTTGAAAACAACAAAATAGACTTATAGACCTCTTCCTTTCTTTCTTTTTTCTCAAAAGACCTTGGAACTAAGAGCAAAAGAAAATCAAACCCTACCCCTTCGAATGAATTGAAGAATGACAAGTGCCAACCCAAACTAGCTGGGATTTTGGGGGTCACCTCACAGCCCTTTCCTCCAATCAAGTTGCAGTTGGCCTTGTTTCAGTCAGAATGAATCCTCGGAACCGTTCTTTAGTTCTTAGTTTTCACCTTGAGAACTAGTACGCCCTCTTCTCGAAAGCCGAAGGGCAGCTAAACTAAGGAACTTGGACAACTCTTTGTTAGGATTAGTCATCGATTCATCACTCACATGTGGAGCAATCACAACCCTGATCTTAAGCTACCAAAAGCTATTCAATTGTTTTCCTTAAAGAGTAAAGTAAATGCACAACGATAGAAAAATAACTACCTCAATTGGTGACATGACATTCTTAAACCGATTAGTTGACACCATTTGGCCAATACGCTGATAATTTCCATCAATGGGTGATCCACCTTCCCGAAGGGTTGCTGCCAGCGGTGTAATATTAGCCTCTTGATCGTTAGAATTAAAGCAACTGTCACGACATGCCTTGGGTGAATTGCATATCTCATGAAGAAACTCAACATCGGTGTCCCCCTCAGCCGTGTCAGGTAATTCCAAAGAATATTTTTCTCCGCAAGCAGACGGTCGAATTTTCTGGGTATTATTCTCAACAATCTCATATATGAGTTGTGTGATATGAGCACGTTTATGAGAAACCTCTTCAGCCAAGAACCAATCTTTCTTAATCTGAAAAAATGGAAGGATATGTAAACCTCTAAAGGAAATTCTACATAAAAAGAGATCAGAAGTAGATTCAGCAATGACTATCAAAAAAATTTCTAAAACAAAGACAACCGTAGATTTTTACTTTGACTAAAAGTGAATGAGTCATAAAACTCCTGTATCAAAATCAACTGGCTGAAAGAAAATTCCCTATGATCTAGAACCCACCTGTCAACTTGCTCTCTGAATTTTGCTCTCATGACTTGTTTCAAACCAATTGTTTAGAAGTGAACTTTGGACATATAAATAGCATACTCAATACTGTTGCATGCATAAGTTTTACGTATTCAATTGAAAAATATGAAAAACAACGCTATCCTGCCAACACTATCAGCCATTTGCCAAACACTATAGTATTTCCAGTCAATAATTGTGGGGTGATCAAGAATGCCCAAGCAATCAATCACTACCACGAACAACACCAATATCTAGTTAGACATCATAAACTGGTTGAGAATTCCAATCTTTTAGACTGTCGTTTGCAAATGGATAACAGGTGAGTACCACGTGATTGGTTTATACTATTTGTGGTTGCCTTCATGAATCCCTGGACAACACTCAATTTACTTTTGACAAAAAAAAAATCATCAAATTTTGAGATGATAAATCCATCAATTGTTTCATCACCAATTTTTACTTCCTGTTTTCTGAGAACAAAATAGGTCATCTTTGCTATGATACTGTTGAGATCATATTGCAATCCAGTCAAATGAGCAAAGCAACGCAGAAACCTCAAGTAGGGTGCTAAAACCAAGGAAACGCTAGTGGTCACATTGGACAAAATGCATTTTTTTCAAAAAAAAAGGCTTTGTCAACAATAAAACGACCCCAATCATGTTGTCATATCTTCTGTTTGAAAGAAAATAACACCAGAGACCCGTGGAACATCAAAACCTAACAGTATTCTTACTCATCCATACATAACTTAATCAAAGAGAAATAAGGAGAACACAAATGCACAATGTAAAAACCATCACAGTTTCTTAAATAGTAATTCAGCTACTACTAGATAACACATAAACAATATAATATTGTACTCTGATTGCCTAGTGCTGCAATTTCTATTCCTAAAAATATTGGTCCCGCATCTTGTTGCATACACATGCGTATGGACATTTGGATATTTTGTAGTAGTTTGACCTAAGCATAATAGTGTAACTTCAGATTTTGATGAAATTCCAACAGTTTAAAGAGTTTTCACAGATATTACTATAGAATTTCGCCTTGACAATGCAATAAATGCAAATACTTTGAGTTAGACATTGAGTCAGCTGAATATCTCATGGATTAATAGATTTCAAAATACAATATGGTAAGAGCAGAAATTTAAGACACCATTCTAAATCAGTACCTTAAATTTTGAGCTGCTGTTCATATAGTTGGCAGTGTAAAGCCTGAATACCTTTAAGACATTAAAACTTCTAACTTTCTAAGTGTCCAGCATTCTCTAGTAAACAATTAATCTTTTCCCATCAAACATAACGCACCACAACGATAATATTTTATGTCAAGCATGTAAACAAATACTGTCAAAATCACCAATATCCAGAGAACCAACAATGGAGGAGCTCAAACTATAACCATGAAAATATTCAATACTAAAATCCCAAGTTTTTTTGTGAATTAGATCAGATGACTTACAAAGTTGGAAGATTTGCTTATTCTGAAGAGACTAAAATTAACAGGAGCCTGCTCAAGGAAAAGCTCGGCATAATGGAGCAAAAAGAGGCCACAATCAAAGGAGTTTTCCTGCTGTGGTAGCTGAACCAACATGAAAGGAAGTAAGGCAATCAACAGTGTGTTTCAACAAATTCTTGCAAGAAAAAGAGATCAGACAAATTTAATCTACCCAATACATTTAGAAACAGAGCCTTTGTGTTGTGGCACTTCAAATGCACATTCGAAAACACAGCCGAAAAGTAGGGAAAACAGCATATATCCAATCTTTGATTCAATTTTTTTTTTATTCATTGTATGTTGTGCATCAAATTTGCCATCAAACAAAGTATTTTTTTTTTTCACACTTGAAAAACTAAGGCATGAGAGCCATTGATTGGAGCCTCGGCCAAAGATTCCAACATAAAACTATATACTTTAACATGAATACCCATTGCTGCAGCCATAAGCTAGATATATATCACTTTAAACCAGCCCATTCTGTAGAGATACATATATCACTTTAAACCAGCCAATTCAATAGAGGGGTGATAGGCTCCCTACTAACCAGTAAACTCCAAAAAATGATGCACTTAAAACTCCAATGTAACGTTGTCAAGTGCTTCAAAGTACACAGACTTTTCCATATCATGATTTGCTATATAGAAACCCAATTCAGTCGTTGAAAACTGAGGAGTTTCCTTATATATTTCACAAAGAAACGAATTGTAACTTCAGAAAAGCCTCCTTGTATCCTATCACATATGAAACTAGAACAGCCACAAAAAACGACTTAGCAACAGTGTGCTGCACAAACTCTCCCATGTGGTAGACCACCCATAATAATTTAGACCAACCTTTAAGATCTTAAACAACTCATTTCTGCACTCAGTATATGACAGAAACTTGCATTACTGCCATTCACACAAGTATCCACTAGTGCTCATTGGACATGTAGAGAAATAAAACATTGCTAGATTATAGTGCATGCTTTGTTGAGTCTAACAAATATGTCAAAACATGCAACTTAAACCAATTGACAATTGATGAAGATGACTTAGGACTCATGTACTAGTTTAGAAGACCTCACATTACACTTCTTAAAGTATCCAAATCAAAACCAATTGGCAGTGTCGGTTGAGAGGCCAAAAAGCTCCAATATTAGTTTGCGAGACCTTACACTACTGATGTAACCCAAGCTACAACCCTGAGCCATGCTAGCAATAGGTGACAAAAACTCTTAACACCCCCTTCCACGTGTTGCCCCAATGTGCACATAGAGTGGCAACCCAAGCTGTAACAGACTACCAACATTTTTTCTCAAATGAATATATACCACACGTTATCTAATAACCCAAAAACGAAACAAATTTTAAGGCTTTGCACATTTGGCCTCCCAAAATCCAACTCCTGATATCAGGCATTCAACCCAAAATCTCGAAACCACAATAAGTAGACACACTAAAAGAGTTCATGTACTAATTTGGGATACTATGCACTACCAATGTGGGAGAAGCTCTAACATCCTCCCTCACATGCAAGCCCAACTCACACTATCAATGTCGGACCAGCGTTAACTGTACTCATAAGGAAAATGAAATACGAGATGGCAATAAATAGGCCTTTTCTTTATGACTGACTTGAAGATATTTCTATTCGTCCAAAGCTAAGTCATGTAGACATTAGTATGGACACCGAGATGGGCATCTAGGCGTTGGATTCTTCCACTTGGCAAGGATTTTCAAATATTTTTAGGTGTTCAGTATCATAACTGTTCCAGCTTGTTAAGCTCACACCAGTAATATGACATGAACTGAAGGGCCTAGGTTATGCTTATATTTTTTTTTTTTATAGGAAACAAACCTTCTTTATTGCAACAGAATCATCAAAGAAGGGTACATCAAAGAGGTTGGATAAGGAATCCGACCAAAAGAAAAATAGATTAAAAACACAAAACAAAAACCAACTGAAGCCGATAAATCACATGATTTTCTTCATCCCGTTTGAAAAGAAAAAAGTGGAATCCCTTTAAACTCTTTCGTGACCAAAGCCCAAAAAAACGATAAGAAGTGAATGCGAACTCAATCCTTCCTGGCAATATTCTCGATCCTTGAATATTTTTGCATTTCTTTCCTTCAAAATGACCTAAAACATAGCCATTATAGCACAATTCCAAAGAGTTTCTCCATTACCATAAATACCAAGGCCTTTCCAATCTTCCACAAACAAAGATGTTGATGAAGCCGGAATCACCCATCTCATTCCCACCAATCTAAGAAACTTATACCACAAAGTCAAAGCAATGGAAGTTGTAGGACAATGTAAAAATAAATGATCAATGCTTTCACAATCTCTTTTGCACATCACACACTATTGAGGGAAGAGACAAGTGTTGAGCCTTCGTTTTTGAAGCATATCAAAGGAATTAATCGTACCATGTGCAATGGTCCATGCAAAAACTTTCACTTTAAGAGGCACCTTTGCTTTCCAAATAAGCAAAGAAGGAATAAAAATAGGACTAGAAAGATCATTGGACAAAGAATCAAAAATGATTTACATGAGAACAATTCCGAAGAATCAAGAATCCATCTTCTTTTATCAAATGAGTCTAGATCTAGAAAGAAGGCATTAAGAGATTCGAGCAATGAAATCATTGTTATTATGGTATCTCTATCACCTAAATTCCTACAGAATCTAACATCTCACAAATATAAATAATTCGAAGACCGGAGCATAGATGCAATTGAAACCTCATGAAAACTAGATAAATTATAAAGACATGAAAAAGATGAATCTCCCACTCAAACATCTTCCCAAAATTGAACGCACTCTTCATTGCCCACCACAAAACCTAAATATTGGAAAAACCAGTCCCAAAAAAATAAACTTTCACGGGCATCCAAAACTTGCCCTTTCAACCCTATTGGAGTCTCATCTGTTAGCCAGTAATCCATATTTACTTTTGATAACTAAATGTCACAGAGATTTTTGTTCCAAGAGAAATCTCCAAAGTCACTTGTCCACCAACACAATATTTCTTGCCTTCAAGTTACCAATAGAAAGCCCCTCTTTGTCCCTAGATCTTGACATCACCTCCCAACTTATCAAATGATCATTTTTCCCCACTCCACTTCCTTCCCATAGAAAATCTCTCATCATTTTTTCAATTATTCTAATAATTTTTTCATGCATCTTAATCAATAAAAGGAAGTATATGGAAATACTAACTAGAACAAACTGCACAAGTGTCAATTGGGTGTAAGTTCTCTTCCATCCATCTAATCTTTTCCCCACTCTCTCTACAATAAGATCCCAAAAAAACAAAGACATTGGATTCCCTCCAAGACGTAATCCTAAATACTTTAATGGTCACTCCCCCACTTTACATCCTAAAAATCTAGCAACTCTACAAATTTTATCGTGATGTGAGTTAATGCCTATAAGAATGTTTTTATCCAAATTCACCTTTAAACCTGACACCAAACCAAAAGTCTCCCCAACATTCTTAAGATTTAAAAATTTATCCTCATCCCCCACCAACAAGAATATTGTGTCATCATCAAATTACGAATGAGAAACCATTAATCCTATTTCTTCCAACAGCAAATCCTTCAACAAGTTCACAACTCTCAACTCTTCTTACTAGTCTAACCAACACATCAGCAACTAAGGTAAAGAGAAAAGGAGAGAAAATGATAACCTAGTCTCAATCCTCTTGATACCTTAAATCTACCTATAGGTTTACCATTAAGCATACCAAAAAAATTCATAGTGTAAACATCCTTGAATCCATCTTCTTCATTACCCTCCAAATCCCTTCACCTCCATCACATAATCTAAAAATCTCAATCTACATGATCATATGCCTTTTCAAAGTCAATTTTAAAAACAAACCCCTCTACACCTCTAGCTCTATAATCTTCAACCACCTCATTAGCCACAAGAATAATATCAAGGATTTGTACAGTCTTCACAAAAGCTCCTTGGCACTCTGAATTCTGAAATAGTCTCACTAAGAGTCTCCCATAATTTCAATGACAATACTTCAATAATGATCTTATAGAGACTCGACACTAAACTAATAGGCCTAAAATCCCTCAAATTCAAAGACCTGTCTTTCTTGGGGATCAATCAAATAAAAGTGGAATTTATAATAGCATTAACCACGCCATTTTGAAAGAACCCATTAAAAACAGTTATTAAATCTTTCTTCACAATGTCCCAACAACCATGATAAATAGCCAAAGTAAAATCATTGGGGCATGGAGCCTTATCTCTACCACATTCACAGATAGCATGCCTCACTTCATTTTCCTCAAAAGATTTTTCCAACCACCTCTATTTCCTCTCATCAATAGGACTTCACTCCAAACCTTCTAATCTTGGTCTAATACTAACCCCCCAAAGCTGAATATAATTGGAAAAAGAACTCAACAATCTTATTTTCAATCATAACCTCATTTTCAATAATTACACCTTCATCAAACTCCAACTTATCAATAATATTTTTCTTCCTCCAACCATTAGCAACCCTATGAAATAATTTTGAGTTATTATATCCCTCTCTAATCTACTTCACCCTTGCATTTTGTCTCTAACTAATTTGTTCCTTATAAATGATATCCTCAAATTTATTTCTCAAGTCCATCTTTATTTTCTCAAATTATCCTCCAACCCACCACTTTCTTCCGGCCTATCAATCTCTCCAATTCTATTCATCAAAGAACTTTTTGGGACCCTAATATCCCCAAAAACATCCTTATTCCAACTCTTCACCCTCTGTTTCACATGTTTCAATTTTTTCATAAATTTAAATCCTTCCCACCCTTGGTAGGTACCCTCCCCCACCATTCCCTAAATTGCCAACGAAATGGATGGTGTTCTAGCCAAATGTTCTCAAACCTAAAGGGACAAGGACCCCATCTAACCTTTAGACGAATCTAGATGAATAGGACTATGATCCGACACAACTCCCGACACTATCTTGTCTCACCCCAAGAAAACACTCTCCCCACTCAGCAAAAAAAAACCTATCCAACCTATTACAAACTGGATGTTCTCTAAAATTGAACTAAGTGAAGGTACCATTTCTCAAACAAGGAACCATTAACCTCGTTTCCCTAATAAAAGAACCAAGTTCCTCAAACTACTTGTCACTTCCACCATTCAATTTTTCTAATAGGTACCAAACAACATTAAAATCACTACCCATACAATATCGAGGAGAACATAACACAGACAAACTTGCTAACTCCTCCTAAAATCTACTACGCACTCTAGGATAGTTTGGCCCATACACGTCACCCCTCCTCCCATCAACAAACTTTATTTCAACAGAAATAGAGAAATCATCCTCAACCACCTCCTCTACAATAACAGTTCTTTCATCCCATATAATCACAATACCACCAAACCTTCCAACTGAAAGCAAATAAACTCAATTCCTATGTCTAGAACCTTAGAGACTCTGAATCAATCTCCTATCAATACTTTCGTTTTTAGACTCTTGCAAAATAACCACATCTAGACCTACTTTGAGGAGAACATCCTTAATTGAACTTATCTTTTTCTCTAGATCATAAGTCTTTCACGTTCCAACTTATAATCTTCATAACAAACCCTCTTCACCCGCACTACTACTAGACACCACACCGTCATAATTGACCCCGTGCTTCAATCTTTTAATTCTCTCGATCCTTTATCTTTTCTTTTAGATTTCCTTCCCCCTCTTTTTTTTGTTGTAAACTATAGACAAATCCATCTTCTCCAATAATTTTTTCAAAATAGATCGCTTCTCATCATCAGATAAAACATATATGTCGTCCACCCTCTACTATCCTCGCCACCCGCCCTCCACAATTCAAGGATCAAACTAAAGCTTTCTTGGTGAACACAAGCTATATCACTTGTAGTCGGGGTTCTAGGATCCCTAAAAGCAAAACTATCTGTACACCGTCATTCTCAATACATATCAATAAATCACAATCATCCTTCTGTTCCTCTAACACATCTGATCCAACAACTTTACCATATCCCATAAGTACATTATTCACATGAACAGACGAGGAGAACCCATCTGGACCACCTAAGACCACTGCATTTACTCCACCCCCCTTAACAATTGGACAAATTTGACATATATGCTCACTCTCCCTCTTAAACCAAAGCCTCGACTCCCCAAAAGGGAGAATAAGCTAAGATTGAGTGTAAGAAGAGCATCGAACTGTTGCGCATTAGAAAAACTAACCTTCAAATTAGTCGAAATTGGAAGCACTACTGGATTCCTCCTCACCCATCCCAATTCTTGAACATGGTCAATAATCCATCAATTTAAAAATCAAAGTCGAACCCTTTCAAGCTTTTCTCAACTGCATGTCTTCACTCTGAGAACCAACAATGTAGCTATCATCATCCATGCAATCATCAAACCCCAAAGGGAACCCCATTTCAAACCAGTTAGAGTCATTATGATATGGTTGATGCTCGAGAACATCCATTAATTCACAATCTTCCCTTTTGTCAAACCTACAGTTAAGCCCATCATCTCCATCGACATCCTCTTTCTATCGCTTCTCCTCTTTAGTCCCCAATATCTCCTAGTCACCGTCTCTGGATTCAATCACCAATGATAAGTCAATTGTTTTCAATAGCAAAATCAAAGATAGTATTGAACTTAACTTCCTAGGCCACTCGGGCTTGAGTTGGAGCAAGCCGAAAATTAAAAGACTCCCTCACTTTTGCTTTAAAAGAACCCATACGAATTGGGTTGCAAACCATTAGATACCCAAAAGTTAATTGGACAATTTTTTAAAGCCCATTATAATTGCCACAACCCACTACATCTTCAACATCATTTCCAACATCATTTATTTCCATAATACTATCTTTATTATCATTAATCACCTCAGTATCTAATTCAAAATTTGAATTACCTCCCACTAACTCAAGATTTCCTTTAACTGATCCCATGATCATTGCCCCTCCCTCATTAATATACTGCCCAATACCAGGAATCAACGTGCTATTAATCAGCCCAAATTTATCTCTTCTTTCCTTAAGTGCATTTGATCTGTATACAACTTTCCATTCTTGATTGCCACGTGTTTGAACTCTTGCAACCTCATCATCTTCAACCTTTTGCCTAGTATATTCATTCTATGCACCGCCATACAATCCCTGAACCAACCAGCGATCACTAATAGACACTCCAAGTCTCGAAAGGATTCTAACTCCAAGCTGAAAACTCTTTCAATGAAGTTTAATTGTTAAAAGATATGGAGTAAAGCCTATTCATATCTATCAACTTTGGTTTTAGCTTGGAGTAAACTTTGCAGTAAAAGAGTACTATTGTCCCATCAACAAAACCTCCACAACAGTTACCGATCTTCCTAAATACCTCTTATTTCTATAAGTGAAATAATAGCCCTTCAATCCCAGTCCACTCTCCCAAGAAAGACACCCTATCACCTGCTGAATTAGACTCGGGTATCCATTTAGATAACTTAACCATACCAATCTCCTTTGACAAGAACAATTCTAAAGCGCCGAAGGCTTCCACCGGATTCTCATCTTCACAAAATAAAATCGCTTTGTTAACCTATAAAGGTCTCATTACAAAATTGACTTTAAACCTCTCAATTAAAGCTTTCTTGAATCCACCACCATAGAACAAAAATGCTTTCTCTACTACATACCACAACTTTGTTCTATATTCCAAAAACAGAGGACTCAATGTTTTCCACAGTATCATGATTTCTGACCATTAACCCCCTTCCTTTACTAGCACTTCCATACTTATTGACATCTCTTCTATGTTTCAATAGACCATCAGCCATCCATGATATTCAACAAGCTTTTCCATCCATTGAAATCTTTCCCTTGCGAAACAATTATGAATATATTTTTTTCCTCACATATGGTGTTTACAGATCGTAAAGAGTTTTCCGAACCTATTCGATTTAAATTCCACCCATATTTGGTAAGAATTACTACAAAACTTTCAGAAAAACAACTTTTTTCCTCTCCAGTTATAGATCTCCTCAACCACTTTGCACAACCAATAAACAACACCTAGACTCATAGAAATCGAGAAACTAGCATATGGTGTTCTCTCAATAATCTTGATAGCATCCCCCCTAAACTCTTCATCTACTTCAACAATGAGGACTTTCTTATCAATCTTCACATCATTCCTAAGATGTTTTAAAGTACTCAATGGACTTGAGACCATTGAGCAGGTGTTTATACCCGATCCCAATTTAGGAATATGGGGGAGAAGAGGGTTTGGAATTGCCACAGCAAAGACTATCGACCAAATCACTAAGCTCATTGCGAGCAGATTCTCTACCAAACATGAAGCCATACCGCTTTTCAACAGAAAGTAACATTGTTTTACCTTTGGGGATCTTTTGAAGGACATAAACTTTTTCACAGGTGAGGGACTGCAGAGTTCTTGTCCTAGGTTATAGTTATATAGCTGAAAAGAAAAGGTAGAGTGAACGTATAGAACAAGAGGATGTAAACATAGAAGAGGGGGACAAGAGAGTGGAAAAGCAAGACCTACTTGTCTAGCAAAAGTAGTAAATGAGCCACATGCCCCTCCTCCTATGAGAGACTTCATGCCTTTTTTAATAAGACATCAGAGACTTTGATAGACAAAAGTTTGAGACATAAATAAAAAAATGAATCAAAATCAGGTGTAATAAGGTATGCAATTGGTAAATTAAGGAGAACATCCCGTGTTTAATTGCAGGAAGCAGTAAAAAAACGCAAATTCACTGGTCCAAGTGGTGGAAAGCATGAAGATAAGCAATTCAACATGAGACAGCAATGAGAGACAATCTTTGTTTGATGTCACCACACAATGGGTGCGAAAATATACAGACATGTTGCCTCTTTCAACTTTTAAACTAAACTTGTTTTTGGGATGCTCTCCAACACACCACACCACACCACTTTTATTTTATTAGAACCCACTGATCAAGAAAAACCAAAAGAATACCAGATGCTATTGACCTCCAGTTGGCATCAAAAATTTGTTATTAACAAAAACAGATTACACAACTTAAGAGGCTTATAGAGAAATCATATCAGCTTAGCATGCATTTTAACACATAGTTGCTGATGAATAGAAGCTGATGTGCAGATAATTAGGGAAACCTAAATGTCATGAGAAGATTAAATCAATTATACCATTTAAAATAATTATCTTGTCAACAAAAAATTAACAGAGAAATTCCAATAAGTGAGCTTTAATAGATGCACCACGATAGATAGAGAGAGATGGAGGAAAACAGAAGGGGTTTCATACCTCAAGAGGGACAAACTGCAAATTCAAGAATTTGGTAGAAACATCTTCCACAAGCTCATTATGCCTCTCTTTCCACTCTTCCCATAGATAGCTGTCATTTCATGATCATTTATGATGAAGACTATGATAGATAACATATACACATGATAGCAAAAGGAGAGCCTCCTGCTAAAAAATTCCCAAGAACAATTAGGATTTATCTATGCCAGTAACATCACTTCCAGTGGATGATAAAGACAACTTCAAGTGCAAACTGTGAGACCAATCCTAGAACTTGATGAGAAAAGTAAACTTAGTGTAAAGGAGGAATCTATTTTTAACTGCAGCACATGCAGAAAAAAATTTAGGAAGCAACAACAACAATAATAAAAGAGATATCATGCATAATTTGAGCGTAAAATGACTGTAGAATAGTGAGTGCCCTTGTCCCTCTTTCACCAAGTCATTTGCATCCAAATTTCGCTTCTTGTTGTCCAACTGGATTTCCTTTTTTTTTTGCGAAAATACAGAATATATAAATTAATTAAAGATTAAGGGATTCATCTTAATTCAGAAATTTATTAATGAAAAAAGAATCCAATATATCATCCAAAATAATGACTTCTATAACTTCCTATCATTAAATGAATCCCTCAAGGCTTTATATACAAACTCACACGAAATTTGAGCTCTACCCTACATGCATGATGCTCCATTATCTAGGTTTTAAATTTAAAAGCACAATGAAAGTTTTTCATGACACCGACAATCTCACAATCACTTGTGTGGTCTTCAAACTTCACATGCTTTTTACCTTTTTTATCTATTTATAGACAGAAGGCTTCATGATGACACTAAAGAAGGAAGTCGGAAGATCTGACACTGAATTAAGAACAATGCAAGAAAATATCCTTTTAGTATGGCCAACAAAGAAGAGAAAAAAGAAACATGAGATAGAAAGGACTCTATGTTTTGACAGAAGAAGAAGATTCCCCGTGAACAAAATCGTATACACGTTACCTTCGAATCAGATTCTTAAGGCCTCTGTGGCTTCCTTTGATTGAATCCATGTGCAGAATGCATGGTACCTTAGATGACTTCTCCATTTCCTCATCTGCGGAAGAGTCTCTGAAATGGTAGTGGGAACAGCAACAATAAATGAAATAAATAAACCTTATGTGTAAACTAGATCTTGCCTTCAATTTCAGCCACTTCCCCAGGATGGCATATCACTAGTAAACTCCAATGAAGACTGTCATCAGAACAACTACTATATTTCAGATGGTTCAACATAAAAGAATAATATTTGTAGGGATGCAAAACTATTTTCTGACCTGAAGTTTACAGGAATAAAAATATAATCCTTTTCAAAAAGATTCACTTTTCTTGTCCATTTTCGAACACGTTGAAAAGCAGCTCTGCCTTCACATGCCGTAGATGGATCTTTATCTAGATCAGCCATCTTCCGAAAGAAAAAACTATTAACAAAATGAAACCTATGCTTTTCCTTGGGGTTGATTTTGCTCTTCAGATATCTGCTAATCAGTCAGATAACAATCAAGCACAAGATATAATACACAAAAAAAAGAATAAGAACCTATCATGAAACCTACAGCGGAAGGAAATAAGACTTGTAATGTATGCTGCAAATTAAAAATCATCGAGACTTGTATTGTATGCTGAAAATTTATTATTACAATACATTCCCGTTGAATGCACAACAGGAAAAACAATTCAATATATATAACTTAGAAGAAGAAATGCTGATATATCAATTGACGCATCCAACGTCTAAGGGGACCAAGGTATACTTTATCAAATAGTCTACAACATATCAGATCATTGACAAAATGTTATTTTTGTCTTTTAGTAACAAATGTTATATCCTTTGACAGCTTTACTGACCACTACTATTTAAATGTTTAGTTGAAATTTGAATAATTGTACATTATGGTTAAAGCGAAAAAAAAAAAAAGAGACATAGAGAGAGAAGAAGAAGAGGGGAAGAAATAGAATATGAAATAATATTGTGGGTAGGGTTGTGTTGCCAACACCCTATCACCTATTTATATTGGATTGATAGTAAAATCAATTCCAATATTAGGAAACTAGAATCACAAAACCAATTCTGAATCGGTATGAAAACTCTAAAATTGGCATTGAACCTGGCTAAAAACACCGATGTAAAAACACTAAACCAAAATTGAATTAAGATGAAAACCACTAAACCAACACCAAACCATATCGAAAATCACTATACTAGGTTGAAAACACTACACTAGAATTAAACCGAGATGAAAACCATTAAACTAGAACCAAATTGTGATGAATTTCAACTGAACCGACACTAAACTGGACTAAAAAAACTAAAATTTGCACCAATCAGACATTGGAAAGACGAACACGAATCCAGACACCTCACAACAACCGATAATGATTACAACAGCCGATGGCAACTAACGAGGGTACCGACGACAAGAAAACTAAACCTTAGAGTGATTCTGGTGATGACAACAATTGGCGAACACAAACACACAAACGACATAACTTAATACGTGTTGGGCCAGACCAACCACTAAGCTAGTAAGGTGCTCGCTTAGGGTTAGGCCCCACTCACTCAAGTATTTTGCTCTGATACTAAGTTGAAACTTGAATAATTGTATGTTATGGTTAAGAAAGAGAAAGAGAAAAAGGAGAGGGGAAGAAATAAAGAAATAATATTGTGGGTAGGGTAATGTTTTGCAAACACACTATCACCTATTTATGTTGGATCAATATTGAAGACAATTATAATATTAGAAAAGTAGAACAATGGAAAAGTGACGTAATAGAAAATTAACATAATAAAAAAATAGAACAATAGAAAAGTAACACTCTAATATGTTTATAATAAATGAAGAAACTACAAGGACATCAATTGTTCATAATGTTTTTAAAAAAAATATTTTTTTAAAAAAAGCATACACAGATAATGGTTTTAACTTTTAACTGTTATAGTATTGTAGCATATTAATCTTAGGGACATTTTAGTAGTTTCCTTTATTTCATGTTACCCTACTATATAAGGGTCTTTATTCTGTATTTTAGGTTTAAGCATAATGGCACAGACTAAGTGTCGTAATCATATTTTTATCTTCTCTTTTCTTCTCTCGTTCTTTGATCAATCTTAATATTAACATATTGTGCTGCACATAATACCAAGAGGAGGTCAAATCTGGCATTCCACATATGGTGTGCTTAAGACTTTCTTTAATCCAATATAGAATTAACTAAAATCTTAAATTTGGGTTAGCTTTAGGATTAATAAGCCACTAAATAATTCAATTTAAGTACTACTAAATTTTAAGTGTCAAAGGTAATTTTTTTGGACATTCTGTTTCAGAAATAGGAATAGCCACATTTTATATCTTTGTAAGGGGTAGATTATCTATTTTTGAGTCAAATTTGATGAGTCCGAACAAATATGAAAAGCTCATGACTTGAAGTCAAAAACTTGGAGAAAAGTCCAAGTCCATTAGACAAACTTAGAACACAAAGACAGCTTTGGACACCAGGTTTACAAGTTTCCCAGGCCTTGTCCCCTTATAAATTATTTTGTTAGAGTGAATTGAATTGTGATAGACTTGAGATGGATGCTGCCAACTGTTTGCGATAACAAAGCTCTTTCTCCTCCTAGTTCACCCCCCGCTTCCTCACCTCCTGTCCTTCTTCTTTAAAAGCACTCTTCTCCATTTATTCTAAGTACTTTTTTCACAATGGCACCTGCAAACCACTTTTTCCAACCAAAAATTTCCTTTAAAACCAAAAGACCTAAGAATGCAAGAGGAGCCTTAGTACTGTTCATGCTAGTATGCATCACCTATCACAGCTTTCCCATTCCCAAAATTTCATTTACTCAAACCTTCACCAATCCTAAACCATCCAACAAATTCAATGACCTCTAACTTTATTGGCTATATCTCAGATCTCTTTAATAAATCCTGCATTAGATTTGGTATCATGACTCCCCTTTTGCAGATCACTAAATGATAAATTCATTTTCTTAGACAACACATCTATTTGAAACATTCTTACAAGCATGAATACAGCATGTAAGAAATTGGGAAAATTGCATATCTTAAAGACTTAAACTAGTTCATAGTTATGCATAATCTAGCAAGCCATAATTTGTACGCTAGCAACAAATTAACCAGAGCCAAACAAATCTGCAATCAATTACTTCATATAAAAGTCGATGATAGTATCATTGATGAATGTCTCAGGCTTCAATAGCATAACGTCTCGCTTGCTGATGGAGACAGCATCAGGATCTCCTTTTGGGTAGATGACATCTTCAAAGGGCTCATCAAAACTGAATTTGAAAGAGATTCAAGCAGCATGTGTCAACGAAAAAGTAAGCTTTTGTTCAAATAAATATTAGGTAGTTAACAGATTGAAGAGGATAGATAAACAAATCAGTGCATAACCAAATAATTACTGCCACACTAACATGGACGAAAACATGCAAATTGCCAGTTTTACCGAGTTCAGCAAAAATATGAAACTTGCAACAGACATATAAACAGTAAACCTTAATGTTATGTTCCATCAAAGGAAAGTTTCCCATTGACAAACTACCATTCGCATATCCTTTTTTTGCATTGCCATCCATCTCAACATCATTATTGAAGTTACAAACATCTTTTCTGGCAGATTATTACTCAACTGCCCAACATTGACCACTTAAAACAAACTTGACATTATAGATGCCTCAAAAGTCAAAACTTATCACAACAACTTGGCAGGCATTGTATAACCACACAACATACAAAGTACTTCTCTTTTTATCCATCGTACTCTAATTCCACTATCAACCTATTCAACCATCTTGTTTTCTCAATAATCAAGCCAGCATGGGGCATATGATAATCATCCTTCATTTTCCAAGCTCAGAATAGAATAGAGAACAATTTTAAACATTTGTTCCTGAAGCATACAGAAACATTAGACCAAACACAACGAAACATCCCAAAACGTCTCAAAATATTATGAAACACCTCTAAACAAAAGGAATTTTGATATTCAATCATGGATTCATTTCAGTTTCCATGGTAACCAAAACTTTTGTCACTTAAGTGGAAACGAAACGAAATTTTGATCCTTCCCTGATTTCATAACTTAAGTTGAGTCTAGATTAGTCTCTCAACCCGCCTAAGTTTCACTCCTCCCTCCATTGGCAGAGCTGGGTGTACATACACGTGTGAATACATGTAAATATATAGAGACAAGGAAAATCAAGGGGCCATAGGTGTTATGGTGGAGCGTTTGGGTTAGGACTGGGATGTGATGATGATGGGTAAGCGATTTTTTGGACTTGTTGTTTGTGTTGATGCCATTGATTTCACTGATGATGGATGTTGACGCATCTATTTTTTTAGATGGATGTTGACGCATCTATGTTTTTAGTGTGGGTAAGAGACAGAGATAGAGAGAGAGTCGAGCATTGTTATCAGGCATCAAAAACTATCTAGATGACATATGCAACTACATGCAATCAACATTGACATAGGATTTGCTATAATTTAGAACAAATAATTTATCTCATTGTACTTGTTAGCACAAAGTTCTGCGATATGTCAATGCATCAAAAATACAGTAGGTTCAATATTAAATGGAAGAAAGAGAGTACTAAAATATATAAAGAATGAGACATGCTGATCATATCTTTCTTAATTAATTATATCGAATTGTTTTCTGTTTTCAAATGAACAATGGCCTTAGTATGTTTTTCTGTTTTGAATTGTAATAGCATGAGAGCATTTGTGGTTTTTTCTCTTTTAAATTGAAAATAGCTTTATGACGTATGTGCATTAGAATAAATCCAATAAGCAATGAGTTTTTTTCGTCAATTGACCAGTAACATAGAAATATGGCTTGCTTTCACTTACTTGGCAAAATAATGCTTTGAAGAGAATATGTTGTTCTGCCCGAGTGATGCGCCTTTGCTCCTTACCGTATCAATACTAACGAGAGAACATGCACAGGACGTTAAATAACAAACACGTGACATACACAATAAAAAAGTTTAACTGTTCTTGTTAGTGATCATAAAGAGGTTCTATGGAATGGAGACAACATGTTTCTATAGAAATAGCTGAAAAGATGCTTATACAAACTTCAAATCAAGAAAACATACAATCATTGCATTCCTAAAAAAAACTCTAAATCCCAAGCCCATTCAATAGAGATTGTTTCTGATCCTTTTACACAAAATCTTGGCCAACGTAAGCATAATCCCAAAAAGAATTAAGCAAATGCTAATTGCAAAATGATATTCACTACAGTACTGAGTTGTGCAATTTTTAGGTGGCCTAAATTTGGGAAAACAAATAGGTAAAGTAAAAGCCAGACATAGTAGGGTCCAAAAAATATGAACTATAGACTAGTCCATATAGAAACCCCAATTAAAAGCAAAATCCCATATGATTTATTCCATTGATTGGAATCTAACAAACAAGGATACAATACGATATGAATACAGCGATTCGACAAAATCTAAAAAAATAGGATATAAATATGACCATGAATCATCTATAAAGAATATAGTTTATATTTTTACTATTATCCAACAACTACATAACTATAATTTTCAATAGATTCTTTAAGAACAATACAAAAACTTAGTAATTTTTACTTTCAATGAAGTATACATTATTTTATTATGGTATATCTACAAAGTGAACGTGACTAATTAAGAAATTGAAGCCAACATTTAACTAGTTAGTTTCCTTAGAAGAACTTTTTGCCAAAAGACATGTTGTAATCAACTCATTTTATACTCTTTTGATATTCGATAGTAGATAATACTTAAGAAGTATCATGTGTCTTCAAAGTTACATGAAGATTTCTATGTATAGAATCGTATATGAATTTGAGAGGAAAGCGTAAATATTAAAATAAAAAATTCTACAAATCGCTCCGCAAATTCACTCATATCCAAAGCATAATCACTTTGGATATGTACCCGCAAGTATCCAAATATTTTATTTATTATCGGATACGAGCATTCGATATGCAAGGGCGGAGCCAGATAATAGTTTTTGGGTGGGCACTGAATATTTTAACCAGTTTAATTTTTTCTTGCAATTGACAAAAATAGGAAACTGCATTTATATTTAATTACATCTTATTTAATACTTAAAATTTTATTAAACTTAAAAGGCTAAAATTGATAAGCATAGTAAATACAAATGACAAAAAAAAACTAAATATATCCTTCTACAAAACAAAGGCTAACAAAACAATTTAGAATTTACTTCAATGAATTTTCATACTTTGAAAGTCTTACATTAACTTTATTGTTTTTTATATCCACAATCAGGCTGTCACTTAGCTATTTATCATTCATTTGATTACGGAATCAAATGTGTTTTCTATCATTTATGTAATAATTAATAAAATAAATGTCAAAATTATAAGTAAAAACTTATGGATATATCATGTCTTTTTTGATCTTGACTGAAAAATAGAGTTGACACAATTTAAAATATTAAAAAATTACTTAAATATATATTGGTAATTTTAAGAAAAAAAATTGAGTGTGGACATGTGCCCCCCTAGCATAAGGTGGCTCCGCCGTTGCCAACATGTATCATCGAGTATCTAACAAGTATCATATTCGATAAGATATCCGATACGAATATGTCAACCTTAATGAAGTATACTCGCTTTATAGACTGGAATACAAAACTGACCCCAATGCTAATCTCTCTAATATTAAGATGGAAATTTTTCAAATGGCCAAAAAAAAAGGTTAAAGAAAAAGAAAAGGAAAGAGTGTATACAGTTAAAAATTCGGCACAAAAGCTACAAAAACTACATAAACAACACGAGGATCCCAAATTACAGATTATGAAACAGTCAACATAAGGACTCACTCCATAACAACTCTCCATATGGAATTATATCGCTTATTCAGTGACTTGATTGCTTCTTCTCTTTCATACCATTGAGGATCATAAACAGCAAACTTCAATTCCGAAATGCCTGCATGCAATTCATGAAAACAAAACCAGCACTTAGAACTAGACAATATCTGCATAAGACTCCAATTGATTTTGTGGAAACTTGGCGACAAAGCTTATGAAGTGAAATTTGTCCTCCATGTGGACGAGCCACCCGTATATTCTCCATTAACTTAATAAGCTTCGAAGAAGGTGAAAGACATAAATTATGTAATTACTCAATTCTCTGTCTGTATTAACAAAGGCTGCCATCATAACAAGCTAAACGGAAGAAGTTAAGGAAAATGCACAAGGCATATTTAAGGAAAATGCTACACATCACAAAAAAATGGAGAAAAATAATTAAGCTTCTCAGTTGTGGACCACTCCACCTAAATAATGCCTATATATAGATGTGCCTTGTAGTCCGTTCCATCTAAAGCCACTTAGTTTTCAATTGGATGTTTTAACATATTTATCAAAGCTTGCTGTTATGTATAGCTTCAAGAAAGTTGGGCCAAGCATTCACACTGTGGTTTTTTGTTTGGGGTGGGGGGACTATTTGGACAAAAACCTAAAACCCAATTTGACGTGCAGACATCATAATAGTAAACAACAAATTACCCAATTATAGCCAGAGGTTTGTTGGGTCAAGCAAGCATGTAACTTCAACCCTCAAATATATCAAAACTAAAAGAAGATTGAAAGACCAATACATACAACTACAAGCTAACCAAATTGAAAAACACCAAGGCAAAAATTAGTGAAAAGACCCAAACCTGAACTTATGTTAGCATTTCCAGCTGCTTTTGTATCCTTAGATTTTAGATGAAGATTCACAGCAGCTGTTTTAACCTAGAATCAGTTATACAATAAGCATAATATCATTCTGATCAAGCAAGTAAAGTTGCACTTGACAGGAGAGAAATTGCAACTCACACTTTCACACCACATCGACTCAATGTTTTCAACATCAGCAATTTTCCATTCAAAGCTAAATGGTCCCTTAATTCCACATCCAGCTGAACCCTTGATTTTAATGCAGCTACAAGAAAAAGTCAAAAGAGAATTTGGACTGTACATATCGCCATATATAATGTAATCAGGGGAAACATCCACAACAGTACCCTGCAAGTCACAAAACAACTCAAAAATATAAGGCAATGAAAAACTGCTACTCCTATCAACAACAAAAAAAAAAAACTGGAGCAAGAACTTAATCTGGACTTGTTTCTCTTTGTACCTAGACAAGACAGTTTGTTCGTATTCCGTAAAAGAGAATCTTTTTTTGATTTATAACTCATCATTCCCATAAATTTCAGGAGGTAGATCGGAAATAATTAGCAACAGAAAGTCTTAATTTAAATATCTGTTGTGCCTGTCCGAATCCCATTAACAAAGAATCATGTTACATATGCAACCAATGTATTTTCTTTGAACCTCATTTTTAGGTATTTCGTCTTTGGCTTTAATGAATAATTGTAAATTTATGTAACGATTGAGACCACCCGCCACCCCGCGGGGAGGGGGGGGTATTCATAAATTTTATTCACTTTATTTTATGTCAAGATTGTTGGAAGATTACTGAACCCCAGGTCAAACAAAATACGAACATACGTATAAAATAAAGAAATGCTTAGCGTAAAAAAATTGATGAGAAACAAAGATTGTATTAATAATAATAAGCAATAACAAAGACTTAGTACAAAATGAGAGCAAAGGTGGACAAGTTTTCCAACCCCAAAGCAAAATGACATATAAGCACTACTTAAATCAGAAAGCGCCAAAAGAAAATTATGGCAATTTTAAAAGCTTCACAATGCAGTTCAACTCACCAAGATGCAAAAAAAAAGACACATTTTCTAATTCCTCAAAGACCGATTCCCAAAAAGATGCTAAGAAATAGATCCTCCTCCATAAACAGTCAACCACCTCACATTTATTCTCAAATATTCTTGTGTTTCTCTCCAACCAAATCACCCCAACAATGGCAAATATTGTAACATTCCAGACAATGGCTCCTTTACTATCTCTTCCAAAGTGTGTAAACTCCACACAAACCATAGTTGAAATAGATCTTGGAGCCACCCAAGAGTGCACGGCCAACTCAAACAACTTGTTACATAATGACAATGCAATCAGGCATCGCAAAAACCAAATAATCCACATTCCAACAATCATCCTTACACCTAGCACACCATTCTTTTTTAGTGAATCATTAGTATTGATCTTGCCATGAGTAGTTACCCACGTAAACCCTTGCACTTTCAAAGGGACTTTAATCTTTCAAATCTTCAAAGATAGATAAAACACAGGGAAGGAGAGAAGAGTATAAAATCAAGGAAACAATAAAGATTTTCAAGAGAAAGTGCCCGTTAAGCCAATGACCCAATTTTTTATCCAAAGGTTCATGACGCAAAGTCTATCACTAAGCAAAGAAATAATGGAGACCGATCACAAAGTTTCTCGATCAATTAGATTTCTACAAAAGCCAAAATCCTTAAGACACTAGATGAGAATAAGAACTAATCATTAAATCAATATGAACATGATGATAATAGAGAGATTATAGAGATGAGAATATGAACTTGGGATGGCTTCCCAATCCAAAAATCCTCCCAAAACCTATATTTCCCGCTAGTTTCCACAACAAATTTAATCCTTCGATAAAAGGAAGGTAATCGCTGAAAAATGAATTTCCAATGGGCCCCAACCATTATTGGTTGTAATCTATATTTGCTTCTAATAATCAAATGACACAATGAATTTTGCTCCACCAAAACAATTTCTCAACCAAAGCTACATTTCTAGCCTTTAAGTTGCCTACCAAAAAACCATCTTTAACCCTAGAACTAAACATTACTTTCCAACAAATCAAGTATTCAGCGGTGAGTTAGGTAGGAATATGAATAAAGGGGGTTCATTCATATTTATGTAGGAATTGACTTACAATTTGATCCCTCAAAAATCTTACCCCCAAAAATAACAAAAAAGGTAAAGATGGGGTCAAAAAGAAAATCCAAAACATGTGTTGGTTTTATGCTAACACGTTATCTACTTATTTAAAGGATTAAGTTTCTCAATATGGTGTTAGTCAGGTCCTTCGTATAGTTAATTGTTAACTAATAGGGACTAAATGTCACCACAATATATTGTGAGATGAGAACAATCATTTTGTAATCTCTATAGAACTATTAATTAATATTTTAACTAATTCTTGAATGACCCACTCAAGTTAATTGTTAACTAATAGGGACTAAATGTCACCACAATATATTGGGAGACGAGAACAATCATTTTGTAATCTCTATAGAACTATTAATTAATATTTTTAACTAGTTCTTGAATGACCCACTCAACAAAAATCCTGCATCAATTCTTGTACAAAGTAAATAGGCAATCCTCTATATCCCTATTGAGATATAGAAATCTACTGCAATTCAGTAAAACGATCACATGAGCTATCAGTTGAGTAATAACAAGGTAAAGATAACACTAGGGGGGGGGGGGGGGGAATGAAAGGTATGTGCACCTGTACTCAAACTGTGACTCTTGAAAAGAGATCTTGTATGGTAATGAAGAGAATAACATCATGGATTTGACATTAAGCACTCCCCAAGGGTCAAGAATGCATTGTAGAATAGAGACATAATGTAGCACACTTCATAGACCCCAAAGAAAGATCCATGGGGCAACAAAATGCTTTAATAGAAGAAATTCCATGTGAACCCAGAATGGGTGACAAGCAAGGTAATAATGCAAGTAAAGACCAAGGACAAGCCTTAATAATGTTGCAAAGTATTGGAAACAAGAAAACATGATACTGAATGTCAAGGGAAATGTGTATAACCATTGAGAGGAAGAAGTGTAAAAGTCCAAAAGTGAATATGCAGAAAATTCATGGAGACCAGGTCATGCACTTTCATTACAAATTCTTCTACAAAAATTCTTTTTTAAGTTCCTGTATACAACCTTTTAGCCACATGACTCACGTACACTAATTTAGCTACCTACTTTGCCAGTTAGTTAACAAGATGAGGACGGATTATCGAAGATAGAAAAATAAACTTTTCCATCTGAATCAGCATTTCTTCATAAAATTGGCATTAGTATATAACTAAATAATCATTCCATGCTTACAATATCACATCCAAAAAAACCATGCTCCAGTTTCCGCTCGTCTAATGGACCTGAAAAGGTAAAACCAATAAGATAAAACCACCATGAGAAAAAGAAAATAGATCTATAGGGACACAACAAAGCTTGAATTAATGATTCACAAAGTAGAAATAACAACCTTCACTTTCTGCAAATTCAGATGAAGATGTTGATGAAGAACTCAATTCAATGCCTTCATCATCATCTGAATTTATACCAATTAGCTCCGTCTGCAAGTATTTTACATTGATTAATTTATGAGGACATGCAAATGAAGATCTTGATTCCTTGTGCAATCAATAAAATGAAGAAGTTAAATACATCAGATAGAAACTGAGGTAGACTACGTCTAAATTTTTGCTCACAGAGGAAGCGACTCCAAGGTTCAAAGCTCTTGGCATAATGGAGTTCGCTTCAGAAAAGAACCTTCCAGATTCTACATAACTAGAGCGACAATGGGATGTTGGTTTATAGTTTGAGGAACTACATGATGGAATGACATCCAACCCACAGATCCTCCCCTCCACAACATCGTCGCTAGCATCAACATCTAATGGCTCATTCCTACAGCCCTTTTGTTGAGTGTTTGTTTCTTGTGCAACTACAAAGAAATGATAAGAGACCAAAATTAGGAATGGAACATCAATACATTCTACGAAGTTGGACATGACTGAAACAGTACTACCGGAGCAAGGAACATAAAATTTAAGAAGAAAATAAATTCTAAAGTGGCCCCATTCAAAAAGCTCAATAACATGATGTCCATTTTAAACACAATTTTTACTGTTTCCAAAATAGATCGTTAGATTATTTTTATATGTGGAATAGTATGAACCAAGCATATACTTGGCCATGCTCAACTTGTTTAGCTATCTAGCCTGAATACCAAGGAGAACCGCGGATTCAATGGGCGTGAACAAATTGCAAACGTGTGAAACCCCAGTTGTTTGTGAACAGCTAGAATTGTGTACAGCATTGGACAACCTGAAATTTACCCTGAACCTCCAATCCACCAAGGATGGGCAAGAAACAACCTGGTCTCATCCATAATCTAGATTACGTGGGAAAGGTACCCATTCCACTAGAAACATACGTGCAATCTTCATATAAATATAAACTTGATAAAATCTATGATCTAGCTAGCCCAGACACAAAGTACTTTCATCGTTTGTTGTGCCTCCCACAATACAGTAGAATTCACACCACAGGAACCTAAAAGGTATTTGACCAGGTAGTTAGGACCAAAGTCTGCCAAAGGTGTTGTACCCTACAGTACTGCAGTTTAACCTTCATTTCATGTTCCAAGTGTGGAGGCTACCTTCACCTTGTTATTCACCTTCCATTTTGGGAATCTCAAGTAGGCGTACATATCACTTCACAGTACACATCATAATGGGTGGCCCAATGCACAATGCTTCCACCACTACGGGGACTTGAAAGGGTCAAACGTATGTATGGAGTCTCACCTCCGCATACAAAGAGGACTCGTTTGGTTGCAGTATTAAAAATGGATGGATTGAATAAAATAATATAATTTAATACAATACAAATAGATAAAAGACAAGAATAAATATGTTATTAGAATAATACGTAATTTTATTTAGTATTTTACAATACATAATATAAACATTAGATAATAATTATTTAATTCAATCGGTTGTTTGGTTAGAAAATTATTTCATCGTATTAATGTCGAATTAACAAAAATATCATCGGTCAATGTTTGTTACATTGATGAGAACTTGATTTTATCACTTAAGGATTATAATAGTAAATATGTAGAATAATACGGGTGAATTGGATTATAATATCACTTCTCTTTGTGATATTAAAAGACTTTCATAATACAGGTCTATAATATACGTTTTTTAAATTAATACAGTTACCAAATAAAATATTAGGCCTGATTAAATAAAAAATAGTACAATCTAATTATTAATCCCCTCATAATGCGTCTATCAAATGAGAGGATATTTTTGTGACTCAAAGCCTTTACAACAGCAAGGTCACAATGAAACATCTTTACATCCATTAGCCAATACAAATACCTCCCTCCACCCCCTCGTTTACGCCACCCCACACCTGAGAGAACTCTTTTTTTACTGCAGCAATCACATTGAACAGATCAGCAGATGCTCACACTACTCTGCTTGTTCTGTACCACTCTGGTGGAAACCTAACTACTGCCAGAGTTCCAATCGAAGAAGCTGTCAATCTGCTGTGCTTCTCTCCTTGAACCTCAGCCTTCTTGGTTCCATGGCGTAGTACTCTGAGTAATGCCTGAATTCCTCTAAAATCCTCTTCATGGTCTCAACCTAAAGCATGAATTGCACTTCAATGACGTTAAATTGAAGATTCTTTTTTCTTATCATTTGGAATATGTAAATAATTGATTGCAAGTGTTTATGTTCTAAACCGAATCTGTTATTTAAGGAGACAGCAAAGCGATGAAAAATACTTGGTCGCTGTTTCCACATATATATGCTTCTCTTAGCTTTAGAAAACCCGTTTTATGTTTCCGTCTTCTAAAAGAACAAAATAATTTTCCTTATCACCAAAAGGGGACAACATGTGAAACTCTGTTGAAATGACAGATGCATTAGACTATCACAGTCACAATTTAATGCAATTTCAATAAGCGGCCACAGAACATCGGCCTTGTAATCACTGTTACACACACACACACAATATATTGTGATCACTGTTACACCAACAAATTGATCAATCAATACGAACAAAATCAACACCGTATACATATTTATGACTATAATTGTAGGATTAAGAGAGAAAATTCCGGGGAAAAGTGGGTACTTACAGCACTGAAGGAACTTGTATTTGTCGAAAGGAGAAACAACGGGGGGCTCAGAATCTTTACGTTTCTTGAATTTGCATAACATCTTCTCGGAGGTTCTCTCGACGAGCTCGTCATCTTCGTTGAATTCGAAGACTGAGAACTTCGTCTCGCTTGAACTACTCGTCCGAGTCCTCATTCTTCAGAATCAATTGTGCCAATAAACAACCGGGTTTCTTTTTTAAAAACAAAAAGATTTTTTATTTGGGGTAAATTTCACGTGGATCCCTGACATTTGACTTTAATATACGGAGACCCCTTCATATTCTAAAAAATTACATTTGATACCTCTTAACATTTGTAATATCAAAAACGCCCCTCTATTGGAAAGTTACGATTTTAAAGACATTATTAACCCCAAAATTATACTAAAGAGATCAATTGACTCTTGTATTATATTAAAATACTTATATTGGACCACCTACCGTCCCCCACGTGCGGCCCATCAGACTAAAGAGCTAGCCCATTGGGAACATGCCATTTCCTTGGCTTAAATTAACACGGGGCAAATCCCCCAAAATCCAAACCAATTCATCCCTTAATACAAATTAGAGGAAAGAAGAATAGCCCCGCTCTCTAGCCGACTGATCCCTTTGATAGTAAGAGTAACTGGGAGGTTGAGTCTTGAGTCTTGAGTAAACACATACCAACTGCAGGCAAAGTGAACTTGAGTCTTGAGTATGTATATCCACTGGAGCAACTTTAACCGAGTGAATATGATCATCAATAATGTAAACATAGACCAATTACTGTGAGCTAACCAATGAGAATCTGAAACTATTCCATAGAAGAAATGGCTCTTATTGATCAAAATATTCGATGAGCCATAGAACAGATAAAAGTGACATAGAAATGACAGTAAGATGTATAGTTTAGCCCTCCGGGATTACAACAGCAGTTTTGATTAAAAGATGAAAACAGGTGAGATCAATGAATATACAGATCATGCCTCACGGCTGCAATAATTTTCAGGTGGAGAGCAATGAAAGATTATGTGGAGCTGCAATACCAGTAAAGAAGTTATTCAGCCAAGCAAGAAGCCAATAATTAGCTCAGGGAACATATAAAACAAACTCTTACAAGAAAATGAATGAGCAGTTTTGAATTCTTTTTCACCAACAGAATAACTGAGAAAGAAAATGTAATACTCTCTGGCTAATGCTATTTGCATGTGCAAATGGCTCAAAGAGCTTATTCTTCAGCAGCAGCGCTTGCAGCACTCAAGTCCACAGACAGATCAAGAGCCTAAATCAAATAGCAAAAGAATACATTTTTAAATTGTTCACAGTAATTTCAAGTCTTATTCCTTCATGGAACTCATATTTCCAAAAGTATGCTTGAAACAAAAAGGCAAGATGCAAACAACTTGGTAGTTTACAACCTTAAACAATGATTTGCAAACACTGGTTAGCTCTAATTTGAAAATAAATTGAAGCGAGCTCATTAATTCAACTTCTGTGTAGTTTGTGACTTACATGCATTATCTCCCACACCCACAAATTAAAATATGACAAACTGCTACAAAATTGGTCCCAAGTCATATCATTAATACAGGTTAAGGGTTCGAAACATAAGATGGGACCAAGGGGCTTAGAGATTCTTTCAAAGAGGTAAGTCAAACATCTCATTGTTCATTGGATATTAAAATCACAGAATTCCTGAAAAAGACTATTTTCCGATTTGTTTTCCTAGCCAACTGGTTAAAAGACCACTAATTGGTTTCTAGGAGAGCTATTGTGAGAGTAGGAGCAACAGAACAGATGTGTAGCAGAAAAGTCATTTTGAAGAAAGACAAAGTATGAAGGATTTTGTCTGGAAGAAGAAACTGATAATAAATGCAATACGATTCAATTATGCCATTCTTCCTTTCACAATGTAGTGTGGCTCGTGGCTGGTATGAAGGTTTAAGTATGAAGGATTTTAATTTGACAATGGTTTCTAATTCTGCCCAACATTCTAAAGGAAAGTCTAGATATGACTAAATCTTAAATATGTGATGTGCATGCATATTTGATTAAAAAAGAATTGCAGTAAGATATATACACATTCAATACTAGAGTAATTGCAATTATTTCTGCTTAATTTATATTCCTTCTTTATCAATATGGTGCTCAGCAAGCAAGGAGTGCCACTGTGCACAAGCATGAGCAAAGAGAATACAAAGCAAGAGGAATTCCTCGTTTTTTCTTCGGGGGGTTGGGGAGTAGGGGAAGCTAGGATCAAATTCCTGCCTACTATTCATTATCTGTTTTGATAAATAAAAGGTAGTTAATAGAGCCAATAAGATCCTTGCAAATCAGTTAACGAGAATCAGTATTGATAATTTACCTTTCCAGTTATCTTACTGTACATGGCTATCACATCTTTCACGGTGGATTCAAAGTGTGTTGTTGCATCATAACTCTGCAAGAAATGACAAACCTCAAGTATCTGTTGATAATATAACCTCAAGCAAATAAACAAAGGTAGGCAGGAAGGTAGCCTGCTTTCTCAAACAGGGACACTTGAATTGGTCGGAAGAAATTATCACTTAACCTATTAGACCAGGAGGAATTAATATTTTTCATACTTTGTAAGAAGATTAGGTAAAAGATACACAAAAATGGCTTTTGAGCCATTTCAAAGTGACAAGGACAAGTGGTTTGTAAAATGATGGGCAATTTTAGACCTTCCATTATGATGAAGGTGAAGAAATTTTCTGTATCCAAGAGAACTACAATAATTCATAACCAAATTTATCACAAGGTCTCACATTAAAAACTGAGTTCTTATTGAGATAAAGCTTCTGCATAGTATGAAGCAAATATGTGACATACTTTAGTAAATAACGTGCTAAAGAGCACCCCAATACGCATATATGTGGCAAATACCAAAAAGTCACATACAACATCATCATGATAAGTTTCTCTGCATATTTCTTTGGCTACGTTCATTCAAACCAGTGAGAGTAGCAGAAATAGAAACATCAACCAATCTTTCATTGTAAGTAATAAGTATCCATATAGTGTACACAAGAGTATTTCTACTTACAGCAGATATGAAACAATTGTCAGTTTCATGGTTGTTCGTAGGTACATATCTGTCATAAATTTCATAGAATATCTCATCTACAGGTCCAAGTAGCTCTATCCCAGGCTTCAATTCAACCTCAGGTTCATCGGTCTCTGCTTCTGTAGAAACAAAAGCAATATATTTCCCTTTTGGAGCCACATTGTGGGAGTAGGAGCAACAGAACAGATACCTGTACCAGTAAAAAGGTTAGGAAGCATATATTTTTACGCTACCTAGATTTTCTTTTCCAGATTCCGGCACTAGCAATTCTAAAATTACTGCTGTACTTCGTAATAAGACTCGTACTTTTAGTATAATCATCCAGTTATGTCACCAAGAATCTAGCTCATTTGCAATAAGACCAAAGCAGTAAAGAGGTTGATAGGATGCATATGAGCATAAGCCACTTTTATTCATTTGTATTTCTTTAAGTTTTTGTAATAGTTGTCCTCCTTATAGTAGATATTGGCACAGGCTCCATTCAAATAGCCATGACGATACAGCATGGTGAAATACACTGATACAATTGATGCTTATGACCAATCCTCTTCTACTGAACAAGGAAAAGAAACTGAAATACACTAACATAATCAATGCTTGTGATCAATATTGCATTCTAAAATAAAGATGTAGCTAGCTTACATCAAATAGAATGACGGAGAAGTTAAAAATCTTTGAGCATCAAAAATTTGTCTCTAGACTCTCTACTTACTGAACTATGAACAAGAATTGCTGACGTAGGAAGGCTATGGAATGGACCTTTATGTATTTTTTTAGCACTACAAAAAAATTAAGCAGCAAGCTTGGAAATTTAGCAAACATACATATCTGATTTACGACCAAGTTGCTTCTGTGGCAGAATGACCTGGGCTGAGTGGGAGTCATTGGTCTCTGGGATTGGATGGCTCATTATACATATGGCACGAGCAACTTTTCCAACCTTCTGAACCTGTGGCGTGCATGCAGTTTATAATAACTGGCAGTTCAAACCATTACGTGCAACAGCAGTGATTTGTTTATGTTTCTGTTTGGCCAATAATTTGGGAATGGATATGCACATGATTTCCACATGTCAATCAGTAAAGCAATATGCTTGAGCTTAATCTCACAAAAATTGTTGGTTACCTTATGAGGTAAGTGGGATGGATCACAAACAACTTTCTTGCATTTAGCAGTTTCTCCTTCAGAGGTCACACCAAAGGCTTTTCCATTTGCATCAAACTCCACCTGTAATAAGAAGAATGAATTATTGATAGAAGGTTCTGAAGCAAGCAACTGGAAAATATTCACATCAACAAGATGTATAGCACCTTTCAAATCTCAAGCATGCAGGTATTAGACCCAAGGATTGCTGTTTTCAGATTATACGTTACATGTGCCTCAAGAATGAGTTTAACAAGCTTAAAATAATGAATGGTTTTGGGTACTTAATCCCCTTTTTTGCAACAACTAGTGTTCTTATATGCAAGAAGACAACATAGAAACAATAACCAAGTTTGGATTGGAAAAAGTAGGCTTGGGCACTTCCCTTGCTGAGTGGAAACATTGCATGCTGTAATAGCAAGGCGAGGAAGACTTTCTGCCAACTAAACTTCATGAAAAATTACCTTACATTGTGGCTTGTTGAGCATGTAAGTGCCACCATAGACTGCACTTAAACGCGCAAATGCCTGCCAATAGTGACATGCCATGTCAAAGCAACTTAAAATTTCTCTCCTATGAGGAAAGGTTACAAATGGAGACAAACCTGCGGCAATTCTCCCAGTCCATACATAGGATAGATATAAGGAGATCCTGCATCAAAACGTGCTAAAGACTCTGCATAGAGCTTTTAGAAGACAAGCATGAGAATGATTAGGAAATGAATTTTGCTTTAGAGCAACTATACACGAGGAAAAGAATAACAAAACCTCCTGTACAGAAAAGCAACAAAATAAGTCTCTCCTTTAAAAGCTCTCCTCAGTAAGAAGTCAACAGAGTGTACTATTTCCATAGTAACAATCAAAGAAATCCCAAAGCATCAGAACTTTGTGCCCTTCTGCAAGGTTTATGGCTAAGACTCAGGTGAAAACATTGCAAGTACTATCCAGAAAAACAGACAATAAATTGCTTAGCTTTAACCCATATTGAATACACATATTTCATTGGGTTTGAGTTTTCCATATTTGTGCTTGTTAGGGACCACCTACAGAGTTGATTTCGGTAGTCAAGCTGAAATTTATTCATAATTTAAGCAAGATTATGTGCATCGGTGCTTTGAGGTAAAGGAATGCAATCTCTTTCTGTGATCAAACTGCCGTCAGACTACCAGTTGACAGGGAAAAGCATCCTCTAATTGTTGGATATAAATGCCATTGCCCCTCCATATTTATTGTTACAGTCACAAACCAGTGGTCAAATAGCCATGCAACCATTTCTATATTTTGGGGCATGCCACAAAAAACCTCCGGCAGACCTTCACAAATCATAGGATTATCTAGCATTTACATCTTCACCTTTCAAAGTATCAAAGTTGTATAGATGATAGATCAACTATAAAGAAGTGCCATGATAAAAGCAGACAATGGCTAAATATCAATAAAGCCTTATATTACCATCCTGTCTGCACATCATATGGGACATATGATCATTAAGTATTTTTTTGGGGTCATGGATCAGCGATATCTACAACTTAGTCGAGAAACAAATTAACTGAGTTGAAACAACATGTCTCTTACATACTGCTCAAGGAAATGCATAAAGAACTACACTTGTTGTTGCTAGTTATTGAGATGAATGTTGAAATTTTGAACATAAAACATCAGTAATTGATTTTCACCTTCATTCTTTTCACAAAATCCATAGCTGGCTGATCCAAATAACTATCATCAATATGAAGTGCCAATGCATGACCAATAAAATCAATAGTGTCATCTTCAAGTCCATACTTTCTGCATAGGAAAAATGAAAATATAAAACCTGTATGATCTGTAACTCACTATAGCTGACATAAAAAAGGCAATCATATGTACAATTTATAAATGAAGAGAGAATTTCTTTTCTTGTCCTTAAAGCATCGATCATGACATAAATTCGTGATTTACGCAAAAAAGGCATTTATTAATAAAATCAGTGATTTGAAAGTTGAACCCTTTTCGGTCTGCTTCAGCTACCCAAAAATGCTCAAATTTTCAAATCAAGTCTTTTGGTATTACAAGTTTCAATTATCATCAATTATTAAATTGGAATACCCATTACTACCTTTTTCCATATGAGAATTTTTTACCTTTACAGTCCACAATGTGACATGTCCCATTTGGTATAGTGAGCAAAATTAGCTAGATTCTTGATGAATGAAAAAATTGAGATGATATTCTTAACGAGCTGGAGAACAATTTTTGAGGATATATTAATATATGCATATTAAATGGCTACAGTTAATCAAGTACAATACTCTTATACAACACACCAAATGTGATCAATCAAAGGGTGAAAGCTATAGTTAGAAACGTGAAACATGTTTAATTAGAGAAATATTGATAAGAAGTTAATTAATAGGAATCAAGTTGTGATTCCAAAACAGAAATTTGGAGCAAGTTCAAGTCCTTGCCAATAAGCTTGAGCCTAGTGAAAGCTATAGTAGGCAATTGAATAATAAATGAGGATGAAATATATACGTGATAAGTTCTCTGGCAGTTATTGTGTTCAGATCCAGTCCTTCGTGAGATTTAGGATCATTCTCTTCAAAGTCTTGGACATAAATAAAGAACTTTCGAGTGCGGCGCTTTTCAAATAGTCCCATCAGAGTGGATTTTAATGCTTCAACATCGGTTGCTGGAACTTTGTAGATCTAAAATAAAAAGTATTTTTTGACAAATTCAATGCAATAACTGATATGTTTGTTTAAAGAAGTAGAAAAGGAACCCTCAAAGCTGTGATAGGTACAAACTTGTAAATAGCATACCTTCCCTTTGTTGTACACAAAACTACCATTCACAGCCTTGAAGTTTAGATACTTGGTCACATTAGTGTGGATGAGTACCCGGACCAAAGTACCATTAGCCATCATGAACTGCCAAAGCAGATAGAAAATGCTTCCATTACAAACACACAGGCACACACCCCTAGAGAATGTTAAAGAGGAGACATATGAGTTGGAAGTATGCTGCGAAGCAAGAATTCCTGGACAAATGGTGAAAATAGACAACAAACTTTTGTTCTGCCACAATAGGTTACTTAGCATATCAAACCAAAGCTTCACACTCAACAGTAAAGGTGATGAAAATGCAAACAATGTAATAAATTACAAAACTTTATTTAACCATGCTTAAATTTTGTTTTTTTTACTGAACAGGGTATCAAATAATAAATCTTAATCAGCTATATTGATAATAGACATATTTAGAGCACCAATTTGGAAATTCACCCTGAGTATATGTCACCAGGGAATCATCATATGGGCAAATAGGATTCACATACATTATCCTAAATCCTTTGAGTTCTGATACTAATTGCAGATCTGGAGCAACCATTCGACAATAATGTCCATAGAGAAGGATGGCTATTCTTATCTTTGCAAAAGTACTGTAATAAATGTAACTGGTAATCATTTCTATAAAAAAAATTAGCAACTGCCAGTCAAACTGTATACTTTATCAAAATGTCAGCCTATGTTATGTGACATAGTAAGTGACAAAACAGGCACTGGCTCGTGCATCACTTGGTAAATAATCATTTGTCTAAAACAGGGATGAAACACAGTAACCCAATTTTATAATGTTTCATTGAGCAACAAATTCAATATAAGTGGTCTAATGGTGTCTATGCCCCCCTTAAGTTTGGAGACGCTTGGACGCCTTTAGCCTTGTACATTAACTTCAGCTGCACACTGAAAAGCATTTTCATCAAGAAAATTAATCTACAGAAAGGTTGATGCAGGAGTATTAGAAAAAATTAGGCAGGTAACAAGCACATTAGCCACTTTACATTAGTTACAGTAACAATTTGCTGGTTGCTTTGTCTCTGGGAGTGGTAATAGATATCACAAGAGTGAGTTTTACGCTGAAGACAAGAAAGGCTGCTACAGGCTACAGCATTACAGCACAATGCTATGTGATTTGATAATGGACTCCATAAACCATGAATAGGATGCAATAAGCCATCCTATATATATAGTGAATTAGTGATGATATCCAAATAGTCTAAAGTTCTACAAATCTGCTCACTCGCCTTTCTTCCAAAAGAATCAAGCTGATTATACAAGGAGTTATTAAGACTGAAGAGACAGCAGTAATTTGCTGGTATTTCAAAGTGGGCGAAGCGACATAGCAACACAACAATCTTTCCGATAAGTTTTTGACATGCAAAGACACCTATTATGCAAAGCACATAAGGCAACAATACATTTGTGTCACATGTGACCATATGTCATTCATTATGCATATTTAAGAAAAGAAAGATAAATTTCTACTGAATTCTGTGCTTTTTAACTGTTTGAGTCCCAAGTTTGTCTAACAATAGTTGTCTATGTTCTTTTTCATTCTCTGGCAGATATATTTGATCTCCACTCACCTACCTATTAACTCAACATAACACATGTCAGTGAATATCCTCATGGTAATAAAAGATTATGAAATAATTTGTGATGCTTTCCATATGGCTCCCTTCCTCTTATAATAATCAATTTGAAGTGGCAATTTGATGCATCAGTGACCTAAAGAGGTATGGATGACTTTGAAAAAAGACCACAAAAGGGAACCCACAAACCAAAAAAAAAAAAGTGAAAATTTGAAACAGGAAGACGTGTTATGTAGAAGCATTGCACAACCCCTTTAAACATATAACTTTTACTTTCCAAGGAAAATACTCAATCTAAGATGCAGAAACAACAATGGCAATGACAATAATAATTAATAAATAAGTATTATAATTAAATTGAATGGACAGCACAAGAATTTAGATTTACGGACCTTAGGAATCATATCAACATTGTACTCCCTGCTTGAGCCTAACTTTTCTGGAGGATGGTCATTCCCGTTAAAACGCTTCCAAAGCTATGAATAAGAAGATAGAATTATAGTACAAAAACAAAAGGATTCAAAGACGGCCATGTTTTTCCAAGTATAACAATAAATAAGTAAGTGCTGTGATTCATGACTTAGATTTCAAAGTTTGATTTCATCATTACATATTATCAATTTCTATTGAAATCCAATTCTGGAGCTTGGGAAGAAAGTCACCTGAGTTAGATTGAGGGAACTCGACTCTCCACCATAATAGTCATTTCTGTCCATGTGCAACACCTATTGGAGATCATAACCAAATGAAAAACTAACTCAATATTTAACCAAATCTAGATGAAAGCAACCTCAACAACGATAATAACATTCCCAATGTCCCCCACCCCTTTGTGTCCGATGGAAAAATTGTATTAATTCCATCAAAGATAAAAGAGATCTCATAAAATGTAATAACAATGACAGACCTTGCAAAACCTACCATGTGGAACAAAATAATTCACTCCATAAATTGGTAGTTCCAATACAAGAAAAACCATTCCAACCCTTGCACTGTGCTCAAACAAAGTCATGCAGCACTAAATGATGAATCAGAACTACACTGAACTCCAGAGAACAGAAACACTTTGATCTTGAAGTCACTGTGCCCTTGACTGAAACTGGACACATAATTTACATCGAGACCAAAAAGTAACCTTTGAAAAAAGCTTTTCAATCAACCAAAAATTACTAATTTAACACAAGAATTGCCCTTATTCCTGCTAAAGAAAATAAAAAGGAAACAGTTCAACCCTCCTTTAGCTCCCATTACTGAATGGTCAAAGATCGAAACATTAATAGACTGCAAAAGAACAAAAAGGAACTATATCAAGACAAAGCTTCCGGTTACATGTACTTAAAAGCATTTTTTTTGTCATTCTTAACATTCTACGAGTAATGAAAAAGAGTCCAATATTGAGGAACATGTGAAATGAAAAATATATTTGTGCTTCACTGACTTTTTGTGGGCTCAAACACTCAGTCTATCACTTGTGAGAATGCAAAGGAACATATCAGAATCTGTTTATTTCTAATAAATTTTCAGTTTAAAAGATCAAAATTCTTGCCAATATATGCCCACAAAACGATAAGCAATAATCTACCATGGTAGAACTCCAGGACATCTGATAAGACAGCACAAGATAAGCTATTCGCACAAATCACGAATTCAACCAATCCAAATTCAAGATCAATAAGCCCCATCAAGATCACCGATCTGCAGATCCTTGTACCATTCAAATGCCTTTCAGGAAATTGCTATATGATAAAACCAATCAAAAATATTTTTAACAAACCAAAAAGATTAATAATCCAAGAACCATGTTCTTTGAAGATTAAAAAAATGTCATGTACATAAAGCACGAATCCAACACATCCAACTTCAAGATCAATGGTCCAACCCCATCAAGTACACCGATCTTGATTATGTGGAGTGAAACTTGGGCAAACCAATCAAAAGTATTTTCAACAAATTAAAGATCAGCGATTTAAAAACGATGTTCTTTGAAAACACCAAAACCTCATCAAGCTTCAGAATATCATACGTATTTGCGTGAGTTTATGCAAATAAATGTGTTTGTGTGTGTGTGTGATATATATACATATATATATATATAGGGAGAGAGAGAGAGAGGCTTTACTTTGAGACCATCGACAGAGAGAAGCCCGCTGAGAATACATTCCTTAAGACCGGTGCCGAGGACAATGACGTCGTACTCTTCATCCATTCCGATGTACAAAGAATCGAATTCCAAGGAAAACTCTTTCTCTTTCTCTTTCTCTCTCTGTCTCAAGAGTAATGCGGGTTAAGAGAGAGAGAGAGAGAGAGAGAGTATAAACGAAGGGACGGGCGCGGGAAAATTGTGAGGCGGTTAGGAACGGGTCTCTTGCAAGAAGCATAGTTTAAAGCCCTTCACTGTGTCGGTTATAGTTTTTTTTTCAACTAAGCCCTTAAATTTTAGTTTATTTAAGTAAAGCCCTTCAACTTTTTAAATTACCCCAATTTCTCTACATCTATCTCTGTTTAAAAATATAGATGGAAAATATGTGCTCCTAAAAGAGGCAGAACGACAAAAATGCCACCGCTTTTACGAAAAAATATTCAATGTAACGGTGATATCGCTGATATAATATTACTAATCAATAATAAAATCTTAAATGAACAAAGTGAACTCCATTTAAATATTATTAGTTTACATACACATTATTGATTGGTGATACTACGTGATAATGTTGACGTGATATCATCATTGCAATATCTATTTTTTCATTTTTACATATTTCTTCTCTTGTTAGCATACTTGTGATTTAAGAATTCCTAACCCCATTCCCAAATAAGGGATAGTTCGTAAATATGATTAATTATATATAAATTTTTATATTTATCTCTTTTGTATAATAAAATCATTTATCTAATAGAAAAATTATCTCTTCTAAGAATACTTATTTTGAAGTTTTTTTTTTTGTATAATATTGCTTAGCTACCTACAAATTTTTTTATCTTCCACTAAGAAATCATTTTATCTTTCCCTCTATACTTGGAAAACTATTCTCTTTCTCACACAAAAACACTTCTCTCTTTAGAATAAAACCAATTTCTATTTTTAAATATCCTGTATGCAAATAAAAATCTTTCTCTCTCTCTCTTGGAAATATACCATTTATTTATCTTTTAATAGTCCCAACTCTCTCTTTGTCCATGTGGTAAATCCGTTTCCCCCTGTCTAAAAAATCACTTTCTCTCTATAAATGAAATCAATTTTATTCTTTGAAAAAATTAACTTTATAAAAAGAAATCATCTCCCTCTCGAACTAAATAAAAACTCTCTCTCTCTCTCTCTCTCTCTCTCTCTCTCTCTCTCTCTCTCTCTCTCTCTCTCTCTCTCTCTCTCTCTCTCTCTCTCTCTCTCTCTCTCTCTCGTATACACACACATGCACATAATCTATGCATCTATCTTTCTATCTATCTATTAGAAAACACCAATAATCTCCCATTCTAAAAAGTAAAAACTCACGTATCTTGCTCTCTCTCTAGAAATAAAGTTATTCTTAGTTAAAATGCAATTTCACCCTTTAAAATTAAAATTATTATGCTCCGTTTGATAAGGAGGATAGAAAGTATGAGGGATACACTTTCTATCATTCAAGGATAGAAAGAAAAGTATGAAGAATTCATTTTTCTTCTTTTGTGTTTGGTTGGATGGATGGAAAATAAAAATAATTATTTTTTTTTTAACTTTTTTTTGTGCCGACTAAGTTTAGAGATGACAATCAAGTTGAGTCTTGTCGTATCAATTTCGTATTAAGTCATTACAAGTTTGTGTCAAATATTAATCAAACCTAACTCATTTAATTAATTGTATCGTATCTCATTTAACTAATTGTGTCATGTCAAGTTGCGAGTTGACCTATTTATTTTTATATCGAGTTCAATCGTATCATCGTGTTGAATTTAAAATTTTCACACTTAGTTAAGATGAAAAAAATATTTTTTTTAATTTAAATTTTTTTTTTTTAAAAAATTTATTTTTAAATTTATTTTAAATATATATATATTTTACTATTGTACTTTTATATAAAATTAATATATACATAAGATATATAAACAAATAAAATACATCTGAACACAAATAATTAACTTTTCATCCACTTTTCTTCCAATTTTAAAAAGATTAATTTTAATGAATTAGAAGGAATATTAATTCATCCACTTTTTCATCCTTCCTACTTTCCTTCCTTACCAAACATAATATTTTTTTTATCCCTCAAACCTTCCATCCTTCCAATTTCTCATCCTCCCACTTTTCTATTGTATCAAACGGAACATAATGTCTAAACACTCACCCTTGTGTGTGTGATATATACTTAGTTTAACAGAAATTTCGAATGCTTAGCTTAAGGAGGCGTCCAAAGAAAGAAAGAAGCTTAGAAGCAACAACTAACCAGCAAACTACATCCTAATGAATAACAAGGCCAAATTAGTTAGCCATTTTTTTAATGGATATGAGGAAATTTTCCACACAAAACAAGTCAACACTCAATTAAATGATCGATTAATTACAAAAATAAAGACATACATTACATATAGAAAAAGTCTAGAAAATATTAGCATAACAAATCATGCATCGATAATATATGTGCCTGCAAGTTAATCATCTGCTAGATAATTGCATTCTTCTGGTTCTCAAATTTATCTTCTAATCTCATTTCAATTCTTCGATTTATTTATATACTTGGCCAGCCACCCCGAACTCCAAACTGCAGACGACGAAAAAAATAAATAAAATCATATAAATGAATAAAGTCCCTCGAAAAAAAATATGCATGCAACATGAAATATTGGATTCAAACCCTGATCAGGTGTTTGACAAAAGGGGTGATGCAAAATTGTATACAATTTCAGTTTGGAAAAGACGTTACCGAGAATATTTATTCCTTGCCAATAATCTCCTCCACCACCTAGTTAAATTCAGTTTGGAAAAGGTAGGCTGCAAAAGAATTTGATAAGAACAGTTATGCAGATAGGTTTATTTATGCTTTTGACATGCAAATTAAGCATTTACTGGAAAATATTCACAATAATTCACCTCATATATGTTCCTATTTGATAAGAACAACTTTGTATACTTGATGTATATTCAAAAAACCACTAATGTCACTACAAGGACACTCGAAAACTCGAGGGGTGAATCTATAAGTATAAGGCTACTTCTAGATGAATTTAATGATCTTACCTCAGCTTGAGGGAAGTGTCTGAAGCGCAGTGGCCCAGAGGAGGATCAGCTGAGAGACTGTAGTCGAGAATAGACTGCGGTGAATAGCCTTGTGGAAGTACATTCGTTTCACCATCAGATATGATCATGGTCTAGAACCAGAAAATTTAAATTAAATAGTGCAGGGCAGCAGAAAAAACACAAAAAGTAGCAATGAGAAAGAGGAGGAACACTAAAAACTCTAACTTGCTGTCTCAAGATTCTCAACTGCGCATTCTCTTCCATCAACTGGGCTACCTGTATGATCATTAAGCTAAATAAATGACCAAGGGCAAAACTTTTATGCATGATCCAGAATTTCTTGCTTCCCACAGCTTTTCCCAAACAAAACCAAGTTGAAAGCTTAAATTGTTATTATTGATGAATAGCTTGTCATTGCAAACTTTCCAGTTATCTTTTTCTGATCATTCCCAAATCTTAAACCATTTAGGACCCGAGTTATTATTGCAAATTCCTTCTTAATCATTAACGTTTAACAGTTGCACAACGATTAAGTGAACAGAATTGAAGTTCCATGATTTCCTTTTCTTTTTTCTTTTTTTTTTGCCTCTTGATTTTAGCAAATACATGAATTGATATGTGGCTGACCTTTTTCTTAAGAGCATCTATCTCTTTCAAAACTTTATCACCCTAAAATTCAAGAAAAGTTATAGATGTGTTAGTCTTGGATGGATAAAATCATGATAATATTCACAATGAAGACAGTAACAGGAGACGAACCTTTATTTTTTGGACGCGGCTCAATTTTCCTTCAAGCAACTTCTCCAGTTTCATTAATTCTTCTATATCAAGTCCTTGGAGCTCTTGTCCTCTTAGTTTCCTGTTATCAGTGGAATTTATATTATGTCAATATGATAACACTACAATTCACTCTTGCATTTGCATTATCAGAAGTTTAATGGCAATGCATCGATCTATACCTCAATTCATGGGACTTTTCTGCAACTTCCTTGCACAGCATTGCATATCTACAATTCTCGAGCTAAAAGAGAACATGACATGGTTTGCATTCATAATAATTATTCTGAAGCATAATCTGCCATAATGGCAGCTAAAAAACAATTGTCCTTGTTAATATTTACTTTTCAAGTTCTGCTTTAAGAAAAAGGTTCCTGTTACACTTTTGTTTTGTTAGCATTTGCAGAATAATTCAAGTGTTTTCAAAGAATTTGAATTCACATTAAATGGTTATTCTAGCTCGAAGGGCATTGCCTGCCTTTGAAGTTTAAAGGGCCTCTAGCAAAGCTAAAAGATCACTATATATGCAGTTGAAGTTGCATATTCAAGCACCAAGTTTAACTTTCGTGGAACAAGTGTTCAGATTTTGGCTGGTGGAAAAGGGAGATAAAGTACACCAAAGGGTGAAAGCGGAGTAACTGGCAATGGAAAAGGGGTTTGTGAGCTTCCTTCTATGCGGTGTGGAGGAAACAAGTAGTGGTTTTTGTTTCTACCTCCTCCCAACAAAGCTATAAACAACTTACTCTAAGTCTCCTTCATTGTAGGTTGAGCAAGGAGCTTAGAAGAACGGAACAAAACCCGATGGAAGAGATGCCTACCTCTTCTGGCATGGTTGGAGCCTCAGCATGGGAAGAAAATAGCAAAAAAGCTCCAAGCATGACTTACACAAATGAGAGATTCACAAGCAAAAAAGTGGATGATTTGCTTTTACATGCAAGTGCTTTAAATTCTCTAGGTTAGACTACTTCAAGTACTTGAAATTACTGCAAGGAGAACAATGGGCCTACCAAGATGTATGAAGAGAAGCCCCTAGGTTAGACTACCTCAGTTTAAATTCTATCAATTGTCCACGATTCTAGATGAAAGTATGTATTTTAATTTCATAGGATAAGATTCAATCAGTATGCATCATTTCATGATGTGAAGATCTCTAAGGTTAGATTAACTAACTGAGAGATACGATCTCAGAAAGGGTGTGATCAGGCTGGATGACGCATGAATGGTAGCATTTGTACGCAACATTGGCCAAGTCTTAATAGCCCACAGGTTTAGCCATCCAACTTTATTTTGGTGTTTTTGCATTGATATTAATTTCTACGTTCTCATATAGAAAAAGAAAAAGAAGGGTATTTTTCTTATTTTTTGTATGCTTTCTTTATTTACTAACAGTATGGTGTGAGACTCACTCTATTTTACAAAACTCAATTGGTGCACAAAATTGTACCTGCATCTCGAAAGATGGTTGGTTTATGCTCTCCGTGTTTAGTTTCACTGGGTTATCCGGGTGTAGACTATGCCTCCCAATAACTTGTTCCATACTGCAAAACACAAAAGTACAACACAATTAGTTTCTAATTAATTAGATCCATCTAAGAAAATAACATTAAAGATACGTTTCAGATAAAACACCAAGATGGGTTACTCCATCAATAAGCGATTTTTGGTATTTATGCAAGCACCTTCAATTTCTCTCTTCAATTAAAAAGAACTCACAAGTACCACAAAATATTATAGAGATTATTTACGCTGGGATGTTAAAACGTTTCAAGTTTCTTTTAGCTTACCTCGTTAAATATATGTAGACATATCAGAAAAAATGATGATGTTAGACCTAAATGGAGAATTACGTATCGCAGCGGAATAAAATACTTACCTCCCGTCATGTCATTCACATAGTTATTAATATCGTATGATACTCAATACATATCGTACGATACACATAAAAAAACAATACGTATCGAGTCTCTGTATCATTTTTTCACCGTATCGTACGATACATTATACGATATGATACATGACGATTCTGTTTTTTTATTTTTTGTCATTTTTTGGGGCTAAAATGACATCGTTTTACCCTAAAACTTATTTTTAAATCACTAACTAACGAAACAATATCGTTTTAGTGGGTTATGGTTTAAATAAAAATAAATAAATTCTGTTGTTAATGTTCTTCAATTGTTTGAATTCAAAATTACTGATTAATATTAAGATTGTTCAATCAGTTGATGTTAGAAGTTTGAATTAGAGGTCTTTGCATTTTTGATATTACTGAACTATGTTGGGAACTTAAATAGTTTGTGAAATATTAATGAAATGTTATGTTATTATGAGTTTATGACTTATATATATATTTAACAATCAATATTGTGCATATCATATGATACACATAACGATACGATACACTATTTTTGAAAAACGATACACCTTCCAACACACGATTTGACAACTATGGTCGTTCAAACCTTGTAACCTTAAATTCTGAATCACGAGCCTTGTTGATCAAACACTCACAAGAATAACTAAGCACTCTCACTAATACTTTATGGAGGTGTGGGAAAAGGGTTTCTAACTTAGCCTACGTTCAGAATAACCTGTATTTCTGATGGCATTCACAGGTCTTTATTTATAGACAAGTCAAGGACCCCAATCCTTATTATTTAAATAGATTGACTTTATCAAGTTCCTTCCATTAAGGACTCTGAAACTAATCTGATAACCACAACTAAGTTGATAACCACAATTTTATAATAGGTAGATTAACATAATCTCAATTACCAAATTGACTCAAAATTATCTATATAATTTATAAATATAATATTATCATAAAAGCCAATGTGGTATGTGGGCCACCTCAAGTCTCCTAATGGAGACGTGCTAACATACTTCCGCTTGGCTCACATGACACATCTTAACTCTTTATTAGTAACTGAAACTAGACACTGAATATGACCAAACAATAATTTACCCAAATTTTACTGAGATACATAACACAAGAATCATGGCGGTTATGTTCTTAGAACGAACACTTCCTTCTATGTATTACTTTGCATCACTTTCTCAAAATTTTTGTGGTATTACACTTTATGAATGACTTCCTATAATTCATTTCGGGTCCAACAGTCCTCAGGGACCTATAGCCCCCAACGGACTACAAATCAATCCCAATGGATAAAAACAAACTTTATGTGCACAAATAATCATAATATTCATTCTCTAAAATTAACTGAAATTATTCATAAAATAATCAGAGAACAAAACAGTAAACTTAAGCACTAGATGAGCTAATAAGTCCCACATGATCCACATGACTTTTATACAATTTAGTCGGCAAACATTTAGTCATGGGATCTCCTAACATTAGCTCAGTGTTAATATGCTCAATAGCCACCTCATGCTTATTAATATGATCTCTAACAACCAAACACTTAATGTCGATAAGTTTATTTCGGCTTCCACTTTTGTTATTTTTAGAGAAGAAAACCGCAACCGAATTATCACAATAAATCTTTAAAGGTCGGGCAATAGAATCGACAACCTTCAAGCCCTTGATAAAATTCCTCAACCACAATGTCTGTGATGTAGCTTCATAACAAGCAATGAATTCTGCCTCCATAGTAGACGAAACAACGATGGTCTACTTTGTGCTTCTCCAAGATACAGCTCCTCTCGCGAGAAGATAGATGTATCTTGAAGTAGACTTTCTAGTGTCTACACTCCGGCAAAATCGGAGTCCGAAAATCCAACAATTTTCAAAATGTCAGTGTACTTGTATGTGAGTCTATAATCCTTGGTTTCTTGCAGATACCTCATAACTCTTTTAGTAGCCTTCCAATGCTCAAAACATGGATCACCATGGTGTCTTCCTAACACCCCTACTGCATATCCGATATCAGGTCGTGTGCAGACCTGTGCATACACTCAAAGCCTGGATCACTTTGGTGTCTACCTAGCACCCCTACTGCATATCTGATATCATGTCTTGTGCAGACTTGCGCATACATTAGGTTGGCAACAACTGAAGCATAGGGTATGTTTTTCATCTGTTCTCGTTCCAAACTATATTGTGGGCATTGTTCCAAACTGAATATGTCCCCTTTAATAATAGGTGTTGCAATAGGAGCACAATACTTCATTTTAAATCTTTCCAAAACCTTTTCAATGTAGGCCTTTTAAGACAATCTTAATGTTCTTTTAGAACTGTCTCTGTGAATTTCTATGCCAATGACATAAGAGGCTTCACCCATATCCTTCATTTAAAGTTTTTGACAAGAAATTTCTTAGTCCCATGCAACAAACCCAAGTCATTACTTGCAAGTAAAATATCATCCACATATAGGACTAAAAAGACATGTTTGGTCCCCCTAACCTTAAGGTATATACATTGATCAACAATATTTTCTGTAAAACCATATGAAGCAATCACATTGTGGAACTTCAAATACCGCTGACGGGAAGCTTATTTTTTAGTCCATATATAAAATTTCTCAACTTGCAAACCAAATGACTTTCTTTATCTTTAAATCCTTCAGGCTGTCTCATGAATACCTCCTCATCAAAATCCCCATTCAGGAATGCCATTTGCACATCCATTTGATGTAGCTCTAAATCGAAATGAGCCACTAGGGCCATGATTATCCTAAATGAATCCTTCTTAGAAACTGGAGAGAAGGTTTCATGATAATCGATGCCTTCCTTTTGAGTAAAATTTTTGACAACAAGTCTGGCCTTCTATCGTTCTATGTTACCGAACTCATCCCTTTTCGTCATGTAAACCCATTTACAACCAACAACTGATTGTCCTTTTGGTTACTCAACGAGATCCCAAACTTGATTTTGAGCCATAGATTTCATCTCTTATTTCATGGCATCATACCAAAGTGTGGAGTCTTCTCTACTCAGCCTCTGAAATCGAGCTCAGATCATTCTTAGGTCCAACATCAAAGTCAGGCTCTTTAAGGTATATAACATATTCACTAGAAATTGTTGGTTTTCTTGTTCTTGAGGATCTTCTTAATTCTACATCCTCATCAACTATTTGTAGATTTTGAGCTATAGGCTCTAAATTGACTTCTTGTAGTGTTGGTACATAAGTAGTTTGTTCATCAAGGATATTGTTATTAATACATTGAAAAACAAACAACATATCTCTATTCACGGGTGTGATATCCAAATTCCATGATTCCTCCCACTCAATATTACGAGGATTACTCCCACTGTTGTCAACATCCTCAATGAATTTAGCATTTCTAGTTTCAACAACTCTAGGTGTATTTAAGGGACAGTAAAATCTATACTCTTTGGAGTTTACTGGATAGCGTATGAACTATCCACTTACTATCCTAGGGTCCAATTTCTTTAATTGAGGATTATAAACCCTCACTTCACCTGGACACCCCATATGTGTAAATGTCTTAAACTTGATTTTCATCCATACCAAATTTCAAAAGGTGTTTTGAGAACAACCTTAGATGGAACTTTGTTCAAGACATACATGGCAGTTTTCAAGGCTTCACTCCATAAGTATATAGGGAGATTAGAATTGCTGATCATGCTTCTCACCATGTCTATAAGTGTACGGTTCCTCCTTTCGACTACACCATTTTGTTGAGGTGTGTCAAGCATTGTATATTGTACAATAATGCCTTATTCTGCGAGAAACTTAGCAAATGGTCCTAACATTTGTCCTTTTTCTGTGTCCCATAATATTCCCCACCCCCGTCTGACCTTACAATTTTGATTGTTCGTTCCTTTTGTTTCTCTACCTCTACCTTATAGGCCTTAAAGGCATCTAGTGTCTCTGCCTTATCATAAATAAGATAAAGAGATACATGTATCTAGTATGGTCATCAATAAACGAGATAAAATATATCTGACCATTCAGACAAGGTGTAAGAAATGGTCCACAAATGTCAATGTTTATAATCTCAAGAACTTCAAAACTCCTTTTGGCACCTTTAGTGGTCTTGTTAGTCTGCTTTCCCTTGATGCAGTCTATGAAAGTACCAAAATTAGTAAAATCAAGAGTCTGCAAGACTCCCTTATTTACCAACCTTTTAATTCTTTCAATGGAGATATGTCCCAATTTCCTATGCCATAACTTAGAAGAATTCTCCTTAATAATGCCACCTTTTATGCCAATATCATTACCATGCAAAGTTAACAAATTATGCTCGTAAGAGGAATCTAGATCAAATTTATATAAACCATCAACTAAACTACCAATATCAATAAAGGTAACATTATTGACTAAACTAAAATGAGAGTTTTCAAAAATAAATTTAAATCCCAAAGGCATAACCAAATTCCTAGAAAACGATGGAATGTAAAAAGTATTTTCAAGATCTAGATGAAAACCAAATTTTAAAATGAGTCTAAAGATTCCCGCAGCTTCCACCAGTGAACGCATCTGGTTTCTTGAATAGATGCTTTGTTCACTTCCTTTCGGTTTCCTTAGGCTGAGAAATCCCTGCTTGCCATTGGCAATGTGAATTGTAATACCAAAATCAATCTACCATGTATTATTAGGAGCATCAACAAAAT